GACAGAGTTGGTTGGAGAAAACTGGTGGGCGGCCTATGCTCCATTGGGGGTAACAGGCTTAAGTAAGTAAGTAAGTTGGTTTCTGCAAAATGTGGAGAATAAATTCAATATTCAATAACGAAGCGTTCAATGCATACTTGAAATATTACTTATGATAAAGTTAACAAATAAAATCACCAATCACTTATTATCTATTTTGTTCACTTACTATACTGTATCAAACTGATCATGAAAGTAGTGTTATTGAGAAGATGATAGAGGTAATGAATAACTCTTTCCTTCTGAGTATTTGTGTATACTATTTGAGCGAATTCAAATGAAAATTCAATTTCACAGTTAACAGTTAACGAACTGATTTTGTTTAGAATCAATCAATCAATCAGTCTCTATTAATCCTCCATGCTAATGATAATGATAGTAATAACGTGATTATTAATGACTAACTGTGAGAAATAATTCCCAGAATTCTAGTAGGAAATCGTGATCACTGTAGATCAACTACGTTGGTTATGAGGCATTTACTTACGAATGACATTGTAAGATAATTAATTGCATAAGAAAGCTAAATGACTACAATTAAATATATATGAACAACTAGATGCCTGCTCGATAGCCTAAAAGTTCAGTTGATGTCCAATATGATTAATAAGCTCTTATTAATTACTTAACCCGATAACAAGAAATGGGGACTGTTACTTATTGTTGTACAACTTTAAAGAAGTATTATGCGAAAACCTCAACTTTACCTGTGTCCCCGTCTAATGTTATTGCCTGTCCCAAGTTCAACCTCTTCTAATAAAGAAGAACCTCGCTAACAAGACGCTAATCATACAAAAACAAAGTTCAGTCGCGATATGTAGAAATGTGTTATGTATACAGAATACATTGATTTCCAAAAATTTCTAAACTTTACTCCATGAACTAATTAAGTTAGATTAAGCAAAACATGATATCGAAAGATCCAGTAATTAAATTGTCAGCTGAGTAAGAATGCACAAATCTTAAAGTCTAGTGAGCTAATTCAATTATGAAAAATATTCATTCTTTTCTAAGACTAAAGTTCAAATCTTAACAGATTTGTTGTATGAGTATATTGATTGTTCAATTAGAACGAATATTTGGTATCTTATAATTTAAGAGTAATTCATAATTTAAATACACTGCTAACTACTAGTTGTTGAAAATGAACTAATTTCACATTGCAATATTACGGAAAAAACAGATCATGTTTCCACGTAAAAATATTTTGCTTAAGAGATAAAGAATAGCATAGTCAAATTATATCAAAGTTCTCAAAACTAACTGACTAACTAAGGTCCTGGAACACAGACACACATTTAGGCGTCCTACATTAGTTGTTTTCCTGGACCTAAAGGCGGCATTCGACTCAGTGGATCGTGAGGTTCTGTGGCAGTGTCTGTCATTGAAAAGTGTACCAGATAAGTACATTATTAACCTTATATAAGCTCTCTACTCGAACACCACTAGTCGAATGAGAGCTTATGGCGAACTGTCACCGGAATTCTTCACTTCAAGTGGTGTCTGTCAGAAATGTCCACTCTCTCCATTCTTGTTTAAATTTATCATAGACATGCTCTTAGAAATAACCTTATCCTCGTCTGAACTTTCAGGAGTAGACCTTTTACCAGGTGGCTCGCTTATTGACTTAGAATATGCCGATGACATAGTCCTACTTGGTGAAGATGCTGACAAAATGCAGAGTCTTCTGACTACCCTGAGCAACAATGCAAGCATGTTCGGGATGCGGTTTTCCCCGTCGAAATGCAAAATGTTGCTTCAAGACTGGGTTGCATCGGCACCTGAACTAGTGATAGGGAGTGAAGTAGTCGAGCGTGTGGATGGCTTCACTTATCTCAGCAGTCTCGTCAGTGCTTATGGCCTAGTGGCTGACGAAATCTCAGCAGGGATACAGAAAGCTCGAATGGCTTTCGCCAACTTGCGCCACTTGTGGCTCAGGCGAGATATCCGCTTGTTAACCAAAGGACGAGTGTACTGCGCAGCATTTCGCTCTGTCCTACTATACGGATGCGAAACATGGCCGTTAAGAATAGGGGACATTTGTAGGTTACTAGTCTTCGATCATAGGTGTATCCGAAGCATTGCTCGTGTATCGTGGGACAACCGTAATGCTGCCGTTAGGAAACGAGTTCTAGGTAAGGATGGCAAATCAATAGATGAAGTAGTGAAACTTCATCAGTTGAGGTGGTTTGGACATGTGTTACGTATGCCTAACCACAGACTGCCTCGACGAGCTATGTTTTGTGGTGTAGGAGTAGATTGGAAGAAAGCTAGGGGTGGCCATACCAAAACATGGCAGAAATCCATGAAGTCACTGACAAGTGGACTGAGTCATTTTGGTAGATGTAGGCTACCTGGTTGGGGTCCGCGAGACGAAAGTCAACGATGGTTAGAGACCTTGAACGACATGGCTCAGAATCGTTTGCAATGGCGCAAGTGCATCCACTCTTTGTGTTCTATGAAATTCTAAGCTTTTGAATTCCTCATAATCTTTATCTTTCTCCATTCTAAATTTATCTCACTGAATTATACTTTTCGAATCATATCTTTGCTCCCTAATCTTCTCCATTGTTGCTAATAATTCTACTATCGCTATTACTCTTGGATTTGAACTGACAGTTGCGTCTCTGTGCTGCCGTGGTATGGCAACCTGAACTGGTGTACTTATGTATGAAGTTCTGCGTTGTATCTGTCTGTCTGTTAAAAACTAACGTTTGATGTTAAAATTTGAACTTATTGATAAGCTAAACGTTTAATTGCTGATTACTTTTACTTCGGATAAATTTTCTTGAATTATTCAAACTATATTAGTTTTTGAACAATTATATCAGCTCCGCCTGGAGCCTATCTGGGATGAATGGTTGGGCATGGGATTAACGACGCCAACCCATAGAAAGCTGATTCGTTAAAAAACGCTAACCATAAAGAAATAATCCAAACCACTTAAACTCTGCTCAGGCAGTTGGATGGCCTTCATTTAGTAGAGGTAATACGTCTCAAGATGAAAGCCGAGTTTGTTCGGACGTCACGAGGCCGATGCCCCTTTTGAAAACCAGAGAGACCATTAATATAAGTACATGGAGAATGTTCGTACATTGTAGGAGACCGGGAGTCAACCAAGTTGTTGCAGAAAGAAAAGATACAATCTGGTAGTGCTTGGAATCGGAACAATTATATCAAAAATAGGATGTTTATATATAACTATATATTTATCAAATAAATAAATATTTCCTATTTTAGGGAACATTTGTGTTATGTTAAAAGAGGAGCGATGCGAAAGCCATTAGAAATTCATAAAATATTGTAATGTAACATAAAAATATTTAATCAAGTATCAATACTTCGGCCTACAGACAGATGAGGAAGAAATTTTTATTTACTTCAAATAACGATTTATGCTTTTGCATACATATCTTGACTACACCACCCCCCCCCCCCGAACTGGGCTAGTTTGGTTAGTTGTTGAACTAATCACAGGAAATCATTTAATCGTTTGTATAGTAAAATCTTCTTAGGTTACTTAAAAGATTCAGTATTATGAGATATACTATGTGTAGTGTTAACGTTGAAGCCTGGCATTAATAATAACGGAAGCTACTAGCTTTTGCATCGCAAACTGGAAACCTTAACCTGGTCAAATTATTAATAAAAACAGTAAATGACCTGATGAATAGATAGTATATCTTTGTTTAGTTACTCCTAGCTTTATTTAAAATTACTCTTATACAAGCCATGATCGTGTCCTAGAGTAGATAGTGGTATGATCGTCAATGGATATGCTTGAACGCTATTACACGTTCACCTTACTCGGTGAACGGAATGGAAGCAATGACACAATCACACGATAGGCTATTCTAACCCCGGCCAAGCTAACTAAATCAAGAAGTCTTGATAAGGCGTAGAAAGTGTATTCTACAAGCACCCAGAAAATACGAGGTTGACAAGCACACAAATCGAGCTTATTTATACATGATAGAAACGCTATTGGGAGAGCCACAAAATAGCTCACTAAAATAATCCACCAACCAATGATAGATAGTCAAGGATTTCCCGAGCGGGAAATGTAATAAGCTGAAGGTCAACCGGCTCGAAAACATGGAAATTCAAAATTTCAGAATATAATTACAAAATCAGGACCTTTCCAAGTGAGTTCTGGGGGGATCTAACATCCTCAACAGATAGTGACTAGGTATGTGCAACACAACTAATGAATAAGTCAATGCAATTTTATAGAATAATCACATCAAAAACACAATGCATGATCGATTTTAGACATTTTCTTCAAGTTACACAAAATTCAATCATTTCTCTGCCCGCGCTTTCAAATCCTTTAAGAAGCAATATTCTTCAATCATAAAGGTGATAGAGAGTCTGTAACCACAGAAATACTTTACATAACCACTCTAGTTCATTTTATTCACAGTCAAAATATATAGCCTTGGTATCATCTCTAGGATACCACTACTTATTGTAAGTAAAAAATGAAACAATTGAAATAGAATAAAAATAAGAACAACAAATGTGATGCAATCATGTCAGTTCAATCAATGTTAATAATTTTCTGTTTTTTTTATTGATTACATAGCATACAAAATACAAAAATAACAATAACAATAATAATAATAATAATAATAATAGTCATATAATCATAGTCTACAATGAAGTATGTGTATGTTATTTGAGCAGAGTTAGTCAACTACAATCAACATTTAAAATAATCATTATAAAAAATGAATAAGAATTAATCAATAATGTGATGTATAGAAAAATAGCAAATCACTATTACTACTACTACTGGTACTACAGAACAACACGTGAAATGAAGGAATTAAAAAGTATGCATATATAGATGTTGTATATATGGTGTGATGATGATACTGATTATAATGATTGATGCTGATGCTGATGTTGATGCTGATGATGATGCTGACGACGACGACATGAAAATGTTATAAGATAGTTTACAAAATTGGTTGTTCCATAATATCTAAATTGTTATAACGACGTAAACGAAATGAATAATACCAAAAGACTAGAAGCATTAATACAGAAGAAATTATAGCACCAACAAAGATAAATACAACTGGATGTAACCGATAATTTATATTATCCGGTGGGTGGATTCGGCATTCTTTGAAAAAACTATGCGTATCCAATAATAATGGTTGAATTTGTTTCAAAACAAGATTTACAGGGCAACCATTATAGCCAGGTTGACCTTTACATGCTGGTAAAGTTAAATATTCTCCTGTTTCATCGGTCATACCTTTTTTATACAATAATTTTATAAGATAATCACTTTCTTTGCTTGATTTATCTGGACCATGTAATTCTAGAATTACAGTAGATGCATAACTAATTAATTGATTGTCATAAACACCGAAACCAGCTAAAATATAAGTGACATCTGTGTCATGCGCTGAATAAATCATGATATGCTTAGTAGATAATGTATGTTCACTATTTAAATTCAATGGTTCTCCATGTATGATTGAACGTATATGTACGACAAATGTATGCAAGAAAACACCAATCTCTAGTCGAATAATATCTTCTGATGAAGATAATTGTTTCTGCAGAAAACAAAGAAAACAATTGATGTGATATTAATGTACAGAATACTTACTAGAACTAATCATATTGCAAAAGTTTAAATAGTTTGAAATTTAGCAGAGAAAAAATTTCTTTATGCATGGATTTTCAAAGATTGTTATTTTTTTTTCAATTAGAATTATAGAGATTATTGTTTTTACACATTTGAAATCATCAATCAATCAATCATTGTTAGATTACCATTTAGAAACCTGGAAGCATTGGGCGGGTTCGAATCCTGCGAGGTGCAGCAGGAGTCATGGATGCGCACTGCTGATGAGTCCCATTCCAAGACGAAACGGCCGTCCAGTGCTTCCAGATTTCTAATGATGGTCTAACATTGATCGATTCATGATTTCAAATTGTTATTTTGATATTTTTGAAATGTAAACGATGTAAAAAAACACAACTGAGCGCTAGCATATGTAGACCCAATTACAAATAATCAATTCATCTATTATTATTGTTTACTATTTTATGAGGCTAAATGCTAAATGTTTCAATGACATAGATTAAAATGGAAACATTGTTTTGTGATAAGGCAAGTTAGATAAATATACTACTACTCTGTAGTAAATTAGGAATAATATATTGTTGTGGGGGAAGACCATTTAACTAAGAGGTAACAAACTTTTCAAGGCATTTTTTTCCAAGGTTTTATTTATTGATAATGATTGTACACTGGATTAAGTATTTCGGTATTACTATTCCCATATTAACTTATTTCCCAACGTTTATTTGAACCGTAAATTAATGTAATATCATTTTCCATTCACAAACTAGGACCGTCTTTTTTTTCCTATCATTAATATTGTTGCTCCTAGTTAAAATTGTTATTTCAACTTGTCTACTGAGCGATTTGGTTGTTCAAGTATATAAATAAATGGTCTGAAATATAATAATAATAATAATGATTTTCATTTTGGACTAGTGATTATTGGTTTTGTGTTCTTCTACCTCTGTGTTTTCGACTAGTTAGTATTGAACCAAATAATCAAGCACAGACTATTAGTTTCTTTGTCCTTGTTGCCAAAAGCTCGTCTCTGTCTACTGGTCAGTGTTATGACATAACACCTATGATATTGAATACGTAAGATTTTGCAGTTCTAATATTAGATCTTTCGGTGATTAATAAAAGAGCACTAAGCCGAAATTATGTAAGGACTACGCAACTAAAAAAAACCTGATATCAGGTTGCCTTAAAATCGAAAGAAGCAAAAGATTTTCAAGTTTCTAGGAGCAATGCACATGCAGTGAATGTCAAATCTAGAATGCGGGTACATCCGGAAAACGAGTTTAAACTAGGATGAAACACCCATCCTGGAGTCAACTGATAGCCGCCACTTGCTTCTAATTGAAATCAATTAACTTAGCTTAGATTTGTAAAATTACATATTTTGTTTTGCAGATATTTTATGATATGAGAAACCGGTTAATACGAAAAGGTGATCGGTTTATGATGGAAGATCATGGCAAGAAAGTTAATTTGCGCTGATGTATCAAGACCAATTATCTACAATCCACCGACTTGGAGATATTTTTCTAGGAGAAGCTAGTATACAGAACATGATGTTTTCCAGTAGTCTTAACAATAAATGAACAGATTTGGAAATCAACGAATTACCCCAAATACAAACATATTTATAGTTTATTATTTGAAGATAATAGGTATTTTGAGTGAAAATTGACCACCTGGTTTGTTTTAATCATCAAGTTTGCACTCTCTGTTAAATTAACAAATGACTATATTTGAAATAATCAATCAATCATTGTTAAACCACCATTAGAAACCTGGAAGCACTGTACGGCCGTCTCGTCCTGGAATGGGAATCATCAGCAGTGCGCATCCACGACTCCTGCTTCTCGCAGGATTCGAACCCGGGACCTTCGGTATTGTGCGCGAACGCCTAACCATCAGACCACTGGGTCAGTGCTTCCAGGTTTCTACTGGTGGTTGATGATTTCAAATGTGTAAAAACACAAACCTCCAAAACTCTGCCCCAAAATGACTATATATTTGATAGCAGTTATAAAATAATCTCATCATATACATCGAAGTTTTTTGGGAAAAAAATACTTACCACCCAATAGAATCTGCTGACTTCAAATAATTCTGTTAATAAATCAGCTGTACACCAGTCAGGAAGAGTAATGTTATGCGCAATCATACATGTGATTAAATCGGTTATAGACCATACATTATGACGATTAACCGGACCAATACCAGCGACAGAAGTAAGTTTAGTAAACAAAGCTGAATGATTTTTTTCAAATTCAATAGATGACTGACTATTCATTTGTGCTTTTTGTAATGAATCCCGATAAGGACATGGTGAAATGCCCAAAAGTGCATCTGTTACCTGTAAACAAAAATGTAAAACGATGTACGCAGATATTGACAAAAATAAACAAGTATATAATACTTAATAGAATGAGGACATCACTCATCTAAAATGGTGTATCATAATGGTTTAGGTTAATAAAATTTACCTATTAAACTACACATCACTAAAATTTTATCTATAAAGTTTGCGTATTTGGAATCTAAGAGAGTATAGTTTTATGTCAAAACACTAAAAAACATACAGACGGATGTTACTTACAAAAGTATATTATTCAAAATTTCAATGAATGATAAAAGGTATATCCATAACGAATACTTACATTAGTTAGGTAAGATAGGATGTAATTTAATTTGTTCATTAACTGAAACTAATAACATGATATAATATTTCATTATCAAAGATCATTTTTTATTTTCCCACTACATAAATAAATTAGTGCTCTATTTTGTAAGTGATAGTGACAAAATAAGTAGATAGTGATATTACATAAATGAAACAGTGACCTAGTGTAGTAGAGTCATTGAACTTTTAACCACTAGGTCGAGGATTCCAACTCTTATCCACTTAACTTAAGTTTAAACTGAATTAACCCGGTGTTGCTATTTATGAGTAAAATGTGATTAGTCTTAGTTGGCATGTGGGTATCAAGAGAGAACTGTTTTAACATGGCTAGTATCACACAAGTCGATGTAGAACAGATGGGATGTGGTTAGCAGTGGAATCCAGAATGCTCACTTCGTCCAAGTGCATCTGTTCTGTAACAACTTGTGTCATAATGGCTGTGTCGAAGCAATTAGCACAGGATACCCCAAGTAGTTCGGACCAAAAAGTAATTGATATTAAGAGTCCAGCTAACATGACTACCCTAAAAAAAGGGTAGGAATGCCGTATTCATTCCTCCCTAAATACTAAGACATTATCCTTTATTTTCCGTTACTATGATTGCATTTTTTATATTTCTTTCTCTCTCACTGTACCTTTGAGAAGTTTAAGAAGAGATGGACAATTTTAACCAATTGAAAAATCAGTCTCACTTTAGTTATTATTTGTAAGAGAATTCAAGATACTTAATTTATCGGTCATTTATGCCAAAAAGTCACGCAAGTTTAATTTAGAAAGGTAGCGCGAGATCGATATTACGTCACTTTACTCAATTTAATAAACCATGCATGAAAAAAGATAAACAAGTGTTTAGGAATATCTATAGATACATTTTATCGAGGATCGCAACAATAAAACAAACACAAGGTATATGAAAAAAAATGGTAAAAGATAAATTTTTCGACATATAAAAAGTAGTTGCTTTACAGTCATTACAGAAGATATGGCTTTACATTGTTGAGATAGAAATATAAACACTAGTATAGTGAAGTAAGCATTTAATAAACTGTAATCACAACCAGGATTTCATTTATTGCTATTTTAACAGAAAGACAAAAGTTTAAAATGCCGTTAAGTTATCGTGATCTCAATAGGCGCGTAGGTAATTTTTTCCTTTCGTTTTCTGAATTTCACTTGAAAATGCATAGAAGCATGCTGATTTATAATTTGAACAAAGAAAGATCACAGAATTCGGCTGATACATATACATATCAAAATTAATCGTCAGGTTAATATCAAGTGATACTTACTTGAGGTTTTGTGTGAACAGGTATAGGGAACCAGTTGATACCATAAGCGGACAGAGGAGAGGGAGATTGGTTATAAAATCCAGCTGCATTTGCCATAGCTGACATTAAGGTTCTATCAACATCCGTACTACGAACATGATAATTAGAACCGTTATATTTACTGGGAACAAATCCGTCATACTTTGACCTCAACCACTTTCCAAGAAAAAAATGTTGCTCTACACCTTTGTCTGTAAGCATTCCAAGGCCTTGTGACCAAGCAGGAGGAATATTTTGTAAAATGGCAGGAATAATAACTATTGGGGATCTGTCACCATGTCGAAATAAAATATGCAAATGTTTGAGCTTATCATTCCCAGAATGATTATGAGAAGTAGGAGGCTTTTCTAATGAATAATCTCCTTCAACAGGAAGCATACACCAAAAACTGAGAAAAATGAAGAGTATATCGACCGCATATTTTGAAATATAGGTCATTTGTACACACCTGTAACTGGTTCCTCAGAAGTACAGTATCTACAGAGAAGAAGCAAATCATGTCAAAAAACGGTAATCACATCACAGTAGGGTTAAAGGTTAAAATAATTTGTAATACTAAGAACTTAGAGCAAAAATGAATTCACTTGATATTTGTGGTTTGTAAACTAAGGGTTTTAAAGGAATAATAACTTAAGATTTTCTAAGATAATGAAAATTAAAAAAAGACTTTTGTCTTGTAAACCATGTTAGTGATGGAGTTACGCTTCCAACAAAACGCCTTCATAAGATAACCAAATCAGAAAACAGAGTATTTCAAAGAATTTTAGAAGGTATTATGGTTAATAACTTATCTTTGCAAGTAATGTGTATATGTAGCTAATCCTGTAAACGAAAATGTTGGAGCGGACAGTAAAATAAACGTCAAAAAGTGCAAAATTAAGAATGAAACCTTATAGTGTTATTCACACGGTTAAGGATAACACTGAGTAACATTTCTCATGTACTATATGAATACTATTTCACACAATGAGGTATTGAATTCACTAAAAATAAATTAATGAAAATAACATTATTTCTTTTCCAAACTAAACAAACATTAAAATAAAACTATGCAATATGAAAATAATCTCATACTATCCAATTATTTAAGTTGAACCTTTCAGATATTTTGAATGTTTGATTTCTTTTCGTATGATTATAGAATTTAGTAAGTGGGAGAGATATATTGACGCTTGAAACTTACCATTCTCCAAGATAATTTGTGTTTACAACATTTGTCTTACTGCAAAGAAGAATGATCTACTATGTTATTCCTAACGATTCGGCAAAAGTTGGATGTAAACGGTTATCCGTTAACATTGAGGAAGTAATCTGTACATTTACAGCACACTATTTAATGCTAAGTGAATACGAATAGGTTGATACTTAGTTAGTCCGTATGACAGCACCCTGTGAAAGTTATTTCTCAATACTATTCGCCAGACGTTTTTCTCCGGATCAAGTATTTACGTCAATACTAGACACGTACAACGTGATCACTTTGATTGTCACAAAGTTCAAAACAAAATTGGAAAATCTTATTGGATGTAAATGATAATTTCAGACCGAAAATATACGTCAAAACATTTCCGTTAGTATTGAAGCAGCTAGTGAACTAGACTTCAAAGTTGATTGTATGAATAAGATAGAATACGAAAATTTATACAACGCATAGCATAGGCTAATAAACCTCGAAAGACAGAAGATACTAAACTAATAGAAAATAATAGATAGGGGTTAAATAGCCTTAAAATAATAAGATATATGAATTTTAATGAATAACAAGGCAATTAAACTCAAGTTAATCGGTTAATTAGCTCTACAATGTTAAACAAGTCATTTTTAATAAAAACTGTTTGGCTGTTATTAAACATTTGATACTTAATTCTAGGTCATAATTACTTCTTTTTACTCCTACATAATAAAGCTAATATTTAGTTTATTTCCTGTACTTTATAGTGACTATCCCAACAAGTCACCAAATAAATCACATAATAAGTTCAACTAACCTTTACAGGAACCAACCTTAGACAAACTATTGGTGCTACTGGTCGCTACACAAAAAGTAACTACTATGTATGTTATTATTGATTAACTTATTTTATATGCAGAGGGAAAATATAAGAAATTATTGTTAACGTGGAATATGATGGTCAAAGAAAGTGCTTTGATTCTGTGGGATCGATGAAAATATGCTGTGCAAAATACGGTGAAAAAATTCGAGACAAGAACGTCTGCAGACAAGATTAAATTTATGGGCGAACCATTCATATCCAAAATAACAGATCAGGGGTTTGGGCACAAAATTACTCTTGCACATGGCTGAACGGCATTTCGGCATTATAGCCGATGTCAGTTCGCGGAGATATATATTGCTCAGTTATCCAAGTCAATTCTTTTTGGTTGAATATTTCCTTTTCTTCAGCTAATAGCAATTATAATCACTTTTACTAGACTGTTATATTAACGCGAATACCTTAAGAACGCGTAATAAGTGTTCTTAGACATGGTGCAGTGTAGTATCATACCTATTCCAGTAAATCTTCAGTTGCATTGGATAAATCTGGTTTATTCTTAGTGTAGTTGTGGTTACCAAGTTAAACAGATGTACACAGGTGAATAGTAGGACTGGATTCCAAAAGCCTTGATAGTGGTGATATTAATACATCGTTAGACTAACCAAAAACACGAACTTAGTGGCCAACACTAATAAGCAATTAAAAAGTCATGGAAAGGCACTCTAGTACTTACAAAATACTCGGGACACTTGAAAATGATGCCAGTCAGTGTTACAAGAGACTAACAGCTTGCAAATGTAGTATAATAGCGTTCAGAGTAAAATATTTCATTTGGTAACGGTTTGTTGTACAAACATTTAGCTACATCATGTTTATATATAAATATTAGTTTTTTTGTTCATGGTTTAAAAGTACAGTCTGTTCGGAGGGGGAAATCATAGAGGCGATAGTTGTTGCAAGCCATGCTTTCTTACACGAAGATGGTGATCTAAAGTAAATGTAGACTGAGTATTTGTGTACATGTTTACTAGCTCCACTTGAATGTCCAACTTAAAATTGTTATCTTCAGTATATTTTAATAATTATCAGTTGGCCTCATTGGTACTGACTGACATATCGGGAATATTTTTAATGTGCAAAAATATTTACAATCACTTTTCGTATTTTTCTAATGTTTCTGTAGGCTCTAGGAGCATTCATTTGAGAGTCCGAGTATTTTTATTACTAAAGGCAGTTGATTCACTACTATAAGCGTTAGTTTTTAGGTTATGTCCATGAACTGGATAACTAATTTACTTCTAATGAGTTTCATAGGAACAAGAACTGCATCGTGAATAAAATGAAAATAACGACAAACTATTCCTTGTAAATGTACATTATTTTTAATTTATTCTACCGTACAACAGTGCTATTAACACACCAGTCTTTAAAAATTGCGATGGTTCAAAAGAAGTTTCACGATCCAAGTTTTAACATGTTAATGTCCTCTAAGACATAGAAAAGAACACCTTAGCAAAGTAGTTTAGTAAACTTTTTTAAAGGTGAGCGAACGATTGTAAAACGTTTTTGAAATCAACTGCATGTAGAATGCAAAAAGGTTTGGATGTAGTATTTTTAAAAACCAGAGATATTTTACCGTTTTTTCCAAAACAATAAGAATTCTGATGTTTTTCAAATGTGATTCAATGGCTTTTTACTGATTTAGCTGCAACTTTTAGGAAATTCCTTGAAATTTTAAAGGCAAAACCCTAAATATTAGGAAGATTTGGAGAGTTGGAATGCGTTTCTCGAAGGTTAACTATAGACGCTTCACAGAAGTCGACGGAATTCTTCTCAAAATTAGGAGACTTATCTGAAATGTCACTAGATCTAAAATATCCAATGAAACATGTACAGAAGGTACGAAATAAGGTAATGCAGACCGCATGCAGCATAACAAGCTTACCGTCACCTTAGAAACTCAAAGCCCGTGAAGGACCTTCAGATTTTAAAACCACAACTTCTTAATCTCATTTCCATATCCAATATACAATATCTTTTTCAGCAACTGGTGTAAACTAATTGATTTATTTGCGTTCAATGAACACGTTTGCTCCAAGAGGAAAAGGGTTTTTTGATACCAGTAACTATAATAGTATTAGACAGGAGATCAGTTAGTTGCAATGTGGAGAATAATCAGGAGAAAATTCTAATGCTAATAAGAAGAGGATTTCAGAACTAAGTAAATAAATAGATATTCTAGTTTATTTATCGGTATTGAAGATTGTGAGAGGAGCCCGAAGTGTAAGTATGGGAAATGAAACAGAGATAATAGGTGAGAAATATTAAGTTAGTGATCTGGTAAGGTGTCAATCATGCACCAGGAACAGCTGGTCCATCAGGGAGATCGAAGTCCGTATGTGAGTACGTCCTACCAAGTCTCTTCTTAGATCCGGCAACTGAATAGGCTGTGGACACCTTAATCGGGAGAGCATTCCATGTTGCGATGACTCGCAATGAGAAAAAGTGTGCACGAACTTAAGTATTCGCTCTTTGACGTGCAATCTTTCGAGGATTGCCTCGAAGGGGTAGTGGTGATGCATCGGTAAGAAGATCACGTTGAGATGGTTTGGCGTGCCTAATATGTTGTATGCCATAATCAGATCACCTCTGATTCTTCTGTAATTTAGGGGAAATAATCCCAAATGCTGAATTCTATCCTCGTAAATTTAACCTTTCAACCTGTCACCCTTTCGGCGCTCTTCTCTGCGCCTAATCCAGGAGATTTATATCTCGTTTAAGGAGAGGGTGTGTGACGATGTTGTGAACCTACAGGTGTGCTCGTGCATATGTTAAATAACGTTAAGAATAATTGTGGGGTTAGCACCAAGTTGCCTTCATATAAAGCAAGGAGTTGTATTTGCCTTGTCAGCGTCTCCTATATAGTTCGATATTGTGTGGAAGCTTTCTGTGGTTATAAAATCGCGTTATGAGGAAACATTAGGGAGCGGACTTCCATCGAGGGTGCAAATCGTGTGCATCATGTGGAGCAGATTGTACATGAAGTGACATTTCGGTTGGTTTAGTTTGAAAATGTTTACCACTGTACATTCCTCACTAGATGTAAGGTCCTTTTGAAGCTCGTCCGAATCCTCTTCGTTTGTAATGGACCTCCAGATCTTTGCATCATCAGCGCAGATCAATGCCGATGAGCTAACTTTGTCTAACAGGTCGTTATTGTTCGACACATTTCAAAAGAAAAATCAAGTCAAGCAAAAGCAGCTAAACAGTTGTTATTTTGGGATCCGATTTTTGATGAATAATAATCAGTTTTGAATACAGACAAGTACATGATCTCTATATAAACGTAAATTATTATTTTGACCTGGTCTGGATTGTCGCAGATTTTTCAGTATTCCGATACACAGCACAATGATTTTTGACTAAACGGATCATTTTCGACCTAAAAGTTTGGAAGCTTTTGTTAACTCCAGCAGGTGAGGTGAAGCGGTAGTTTACTGAGGCTTGTTTGGACATCCTAATTATATTTTATTGCTTTTCCCGATAATAAACTCTTCTTAGTATATTTCAGAATGTTCTATCACTGAAGCCTTCCGGTTTTCGACAGAAAACCGATTCACAACTACTAGTTTAGAAGAGTTATCAGGGTCATTTGCAAGGGTTATGGTTACTGATGTGCTGTCACCTGCCTATAGAAGTGCGAAAAGCCCAAAGTTGGTTTTCTTGAACCACATACATATGTCTATGCAGCTGCGGTTGTAAAAACTGTTGAGCAAATAATATGAAAAAATACCAAAACATGTACTTCATTAAGAGTTAATGAGAAATGTAATACTGTAGTGAAGGAGAACACAGGCGAGGGCAACCGAATTGTATTAAACGAAAGTTACAGAGTTACTCAGTAAAATAGGAAAACCATATCGTAACCGTTCAATGCATCATCAATCCATTGTCTGACATTTCACTATTCATGCGTTTCATACAAATTCCATTGTGTTCCCACTCTTCGTTTCTTGATCTTCTCCCATCTTCTGCTGCCAGACATTACGTTTACACTCACGTCATATACTACTTATAGGTGGCGCGCACCACAATACCATCATTAGTGATATTTTAGGCATCAAATATAGTGAGAATATTTTGAAGTTCAGCTTCAAAAAATTTTAAAGTGTGAGATTCTGTCAACAAGCTTTCCTGGATGCAACAGTGATCCCTATTACGGTAATAATAGGCTTATGGGCTACTGCAGACGAGGTTGAAAAAGATCAGATGGTTTTCTAACCAACTGACTGAAACTCAAAATCCTTGCTACTAAGTCAAAAAGATTTCAGCTCCAACATAGCCAAAGACATGGAAGCAAGTCATGATTTGTAACGGTTAAGTGATTATTATGACATAGAGATAAACTCAGATCGCTTTTGTGGTTTTAAGGACAAAAATTAAGATTCATTGCGATGACATCATATTTTTTACTGATAAATCCACTTTCACAGTCACTGAACAATCGTTTGTCCCGGGTCGTTAATAACCGTTCATCGTCGGTGGAAAATGTTAAAGAGTTCCATACCAGGACCAAATTAACATATATTTGTCGCAATTTTCAATAGTTTCCTTACAACGATTAGTAACTTTAATTGTTTAATAAAGTCTGAGGTACTTGCTAGGCGTCGGTGGGGTATGAGTGGCCAACGGAACTGTTACATTACAGATAGCTATGTCCGCCGATCACAGCTGCCTCTGTGGAGTGCCCGTTGGAAGGTTTCTCAACAGATTCGTTGTGACCATAGCTTTGAATTTAGAGGGACGAGTCTATCATCAGACAACCTTCGGAGGACCCCATAATGACCTTGAGAAGGTTAGCCTACTCAATAAGACCTGAAGAAGGTTGAAAATGATTACGAGGAACTAGAATTGTGGTTAAGAGTCAGAAGTGAAACTGAGGAATTAGTGTTAGGTACTCATCACTAACTGACGTCAATTACATTTCCAAAATGCTTATGGGCCATGCGCATAAAGGAATATTGCACCATAATCTCAAACTCGTTATCTTGAATATGACCCGTTTGTCAACAAATAATATCACCATCTATACGTGCAAAACTCTGTTCCAATAGGGGTGCCCAACATGAGGACAAATTAACTAATGCATTCTTCGGGTGTTATTATTCACAAGTCTTCCCACCTGTAAAGTATTCGCTCATATCATAGTTTTTTCCGCTTCGGTGCTTACTTCGCTTATGTCTGATTAGCTTATTAATGCCTGTCTACAGATGCTTAGTCATGTCTTATCCACTCGAGTTGATTCACCGAAATTTTCAGCTTAAATTCACTCCGCCCGTACGCTTTTCGTGCTCATATCTTTCCCTATGAACGGTTGCCTGGAATTAACTCATCTGACAGAGTTCGTTTATGACTTCTTATTATCGCCATCTCATAGATGGGGTTCGCCTAAGTTTGATATATAGAGGTTGAAGGAGAGATTATTTAATTGTTCATAAATATCTCGCCACCAGTGTTGTGAGCACTACTATGAATTCGACGCAGCCATCAAAAATCTTTGAAATGAAAAGTCTACGTTCACTATACCTATATCCGTACTGAAGTGGATGACAGTGAATGTTTCCCCACAAACACATACCATCACTAGCAAATACCTGAAATGACAGGTAAAAAATATGCCCCTCAGCTATCTAAAATGCTTTCCTAATACAAAGATGTGGACCCAACTTGCGTTGGTTATCGATCAGTAGTCGTTTCTCTCAACGTCTTCGACGTAACTTGACCCAGTAATCGTATTGTACATTCCAGACTCATAAACATTATTTACAGCTTGATGTGATGAATTTCACCACAATTATGGTCAGTGCATTTAGTAAAATATGTTTTAACTGCCCAACCTCTTAGAGTAAATATGCTAGCATTTGTAACAATTTATCTTGCCTGTAAATTGGAATGCCTCAAATTGCACACTGTTATTTGAGAACTGATTATTACTATTACGATTACTGAATTCGTCCAACAAATGATTGACAAGGTAGGCGACAATGGCAACCGCAACACTCGCACATACACCGCCGGTTGTTGTAAGCATCCCAGTATCTGTTAACAGTACCGAACAGTAGGCTAGAGTTAGTAAAGTAAATGCAACACCACAACTCAAGGACGCACTAAATTAAAGACAGGGAGGTTAGCTGAAATTCACTAACATTTATTATGTTCCAGAGTCGGAGGACCGCTCAGTGGTAAGTAGAGAGCTGTGTTTGATAAAGAACAGTGGGATAGATAGGCCGTAGTGCTTGAAGTGAGTAGCGGCCAGGCCAAACTCTACTGTCTGTTCAGGGGCCAAAATGTAACCAAGGTAAAACCCCTTCAATTGAGGGCAGATTTAGACCCAGAACAATATACTGAAGAAATCCTCCTAATATATGAGAGACTTTTGGTTAAACTGTCCTGCCTAAAACACGTCAGGTAGGACAAGCCTTGGTTTGTAAGAGCAGCCTCCAGAACATCGATGGAAGTCCAAGAATAAACCAGTTTGGTGGCTCATGGAGTGGCTGGTGACAAGTAAAATGTAACTCACCTACATGAAATGTAACGGTGGCGGTGGCTGTTACGTAGCACAGGCTTTCGCACCGTCATGGCAGTTATCATTTCTTGTCTTCCCCTCCCATCACATCTCACGGTTCTGAACTTTGGAAATTTGGAAGACATAACCGAGGTTCACGAAAAAATGACGTCTCTAGTCTCGTTGGACGTTGTAAGGGCCAACGTAGTTCCGTGAGACAACAGTTGGTAGGTTATATAAAGCCCACACTAATATCAGTCGACCTCGATTAATAACCTACAGTACAATATGCGCAGATGATGGTCTCACGATTGGGAGAAGCAGCTCAAGTAAAATACCGCGACAGCCAGTTTCCACAGAACTAGCTAACACAATTCATTCAAATTGTTCGAAAATCAGAGAACAGATAATTTTGCAGAGGCCTACCAGGAGATCAGACAAGCCATCAAGTGCCTCTATAGTGACGTAGGAGGACTTTATGGTCGATTGGAAAGGATTAAAAACTCTTGCTCTCTTAGCAAGCAGGGTACAACTCCTAAAGTTTGGTTTAAAAAGCAGCTTGTCACAGCTATCAAATGCATGTTTAACATGGTCCAAAAATTCTAGGACGATCCCCTCCCTGATATTCATAAATGACTTATTAGATAAAATGAGCTTAGTGGCATCAATCTATTCACGTGATGCAAAGAGCTGGCGGTTTACAAGAAACTAGGAAGAATCGAATGGGCTAAAAAAAGAAACTTTCAACAACGGAGGACAGTGGACAATAGATAAATCCTAGTCAGTCAAAATCTCACGTCATCAAAATTCTAGACTATGCTATAAAATTTTCTTGCTTCCTCCCAAATGTCTCCGCGGAAGGCGATCCTGATCTAATTACCACAAATATCCTGAATACCAGTTCAAGCTACGTAGTGAACGTAGCCGAATCTAATGCAGCTCTTCGCATTGTGTGAAAACAACTTAATACTATTATCCCACAACTGATCTTAGCTCTCTTTAAAATAGACTCTAGACCACACCGAGAATTTCTCAAAGTCGTCACACCCCTCTCTTCCAAATATTCGATTCATTCAGTAGAAGGCAGAAGATGCATAGGGTCATTCTAGGAAAGGAGTAAACTAGAAGTCCTAATTTTATTTCTGAAGAAAGCAATCTGAATTTTGAAGATCTTGTTATTCTGAATCAGGCAACTTTGAAGCTCGAAGGTCGTTTGTGAGACTCTAAGGTCAGTATTGAGAGGATGGGTATTCATGTTGGCTGACTTATGTTTGTCTTATAACGTAGAAGCATCAGGATAGTGAATACGTTTTGTTTCTAGACGTTGTTCATTACTTGAAAAACTATTCGGTGTGAATTTTGTAGCGAAGTAGACAATCAGTGGAAAGTAAATGTTAATTTCGATCTATTGCCCTTTAAAAAGGGGAAATTTCGGAATAAATTTTCACTATGTATTTCATTTCGGAGAAAAAAGTAACAAATTGATGGGTTATACCCTATATTCACATCGAGTCGCTTCAGTTTCAGTTTGGAAAATATAGGAGGTTGGGTGGCTTATGTGGCAACTTGGATATCCCACTTGATCTAGTTTGCTTTTTGGCTCATCGACAGATAGAGCAGCCGATGAAGTTAAGAGATTTGGGAAGTAATTTACATACAGGAGGAACAACACTGGCACTCAAACTGTATCCTAAGACACCTCGCTAAGCATAATTTCACAATTATTTATCTTGGAGTTAAATTGTACTCTTTGTTGGCATCCTTATAGAAAATCCCTGATCCACACAAGTGAGTTGCTTGCAGTCTTCATGTTACTCAAATAAAACAAGCTGGTTGTGAGGCACTTTTGCGAAAGCCTTTTTTGAAGTTAGTGAAAGCTACCTCTATAGGTAGCTTCTGATCTTCTAGAGCGCACTGTCTTTCACGGACTACTTATAGGTTTGTGAGACATGAATAGCCTGTTCTGAAGCCGTTCTGCTTCTCTGAAGGAATATGATTTTCGTCTAAGTTCTTAAACAGCTCCTTACGAATAATATATTTACTTTGGTGTCCTTCCAGTCTATGTAATCTGCCTTGGCGTACAGATAGATTAAAACGTTTGCCTAAGCGATTTGCGATGAAATTTGCTAGTTTCTTTAGTAGTATTCTCCACATTACCCTGATCTTCTCCATTACTGCTAATACTTATACTATCGCTACCACTATTGGATTTGAACTGACTGTTGCGTCTCTGTGCTAATACGGTATGGCAACATAATCTGATGTACTTACGTACGTACGTGCGTTGTATCTGTCTGTCATTTAGTAGTCTAGAGTGTATTTTATCAAATCCTAGTCTTTCATGAACCAAGCTTATTCAACAGATCAAGGAACATCAGGTTCAGAGTGTGAGTGGAGGGGCTTGTATGAACTGGAAGGACTGGCGCCTCTGTCATTTATTCATCGCTCAAGTATTTTCATTTTCCTTGATGTAGTTCAAGGAATGTATGGTTTATCAACTTTTATGTGCAAATTTCTGAATACCTCCCAAGCCGTTTCAATGGGCAGTACTTGTTCTATTGTTCAGTCTACCAAGGTTGATGGGTATACAGTTTCGTATATATTTCCCGTTTAAACATTTGATCTGGCGTGAGCTGACCCATCGTTGTTAATAGCGATGGGGAAATCAAAGACTAGAACTCCACAGACACTTTTATCTAGAAATGGTATATAATTGCGGTTTGAATATCAACCTCATAATAAGTTAATTCGATATCTAGTAAAAATGATTAGGAATCCGGATCGAACCTAGTTACTTCATTTACATGATGCACTAGGGCAGCTGTAATAACCGCGTCATCTAATTTATGTCTGGAATTATTTTATGACAATGCAGTCCTTAGATTTTCCCAGTGTACCGAAGGTGTGGTAGTCCCCTAAAATTAAACATCTACTATTTAAAGACCAAGTGTGGAGCTTGTTCAACAAAACCTCATTCACCTCACAGTTTGGACAGTGTAAACCAATCCAACCGGCAGCTCTTGTCCTTTGCACTTCAAACGACAACTAACTAATTTGTGCGTCCCACTCCCGTGGGATGTTGTCAATAGTGATAAAGGGGATAGCATTTCTAATGCATAAAGTTATTTTCCACCTTACGTTTCTGGATTCTGTCGGCTCTAGCCAATGTGAAATTTTCAAAATCAAGTTCTCTATTGGTGGGAATTACTTTAGGCTTAATTGAGTCTATCTGTACACCTATCTACGATCGCCTGTTGAGTAAGCTCCGGGAATTTGTGTAGCAAACCCTAAGACCATTTAAAAGACTTCGTGCATCACCCTAAGCAGCTTCGGCATCATTCTCTATCGATCTCTCACTACCCAAAAGTTTACAGTTCTTAAGTCCTTGCCAGCATCTAGCCTTAGTGTTAGCTCTTTTTTGGCCTCTTGTTTTCTGATACGTTCTGCTACTGATAAGTCTTTGCAGATACAAACTCCTGGTCCCTTCAGTTTATGGTAGTTTTGAAGTATCAAGTCCTTTTCACTGAGATTTAAACACTACTTTTAGAAACCTCGTTTGGTTTTCTTATGAATCTGTTAGGTTTTCTAGTCTATGAAATTTTAGAGAAGTGATCTCAGGGATGTCTTGAGAAATTAGCCTACTTAGTAGACCTTTTGTCAATCCGATGTCATACTGAAAGCGGATTTTCGACTCAGCGCTTTCTCTTTCCTTTACTCTGAAAGGTAACTGACCTGTTGCTGTGATCAGTCTTGGGTTTTCAGATTATCGTCGCGGGAATAGGTATTTCCTCAAAAACGTTTGATAGTTTCACTTTCAATGCTTGTACCCATTCGTCATCTTTCACTGGGGTGTCGATCACAGCTGTTACGCTGTGCGATCCTGGATAGTTTAGGGCAACTTGGGTGGTCTGAGTGCTATTTCTTCTAGGGAGACAGACTTACTGGACCGGGTACTGCAGAAACCTGCTTCTTTGAGTTTTTGTTCCTTATGGACCTATTTGGGGTTGGGTTTTACTCTTTTGGTCCATTTAAGTCATTCGACCTTGGGCTCGAATAAGATGTCTGTAAATCGATCTGGCGTTACTTGACCTATCTCGACATCTCTGGTTAATACGCCTCTTAGCAGAGTTCCTTAATGCAATCGCCTCAACTAACAAGCTCTTTGCATTAGAGCAGCATTGATGACACAACTAAACATGCTCCCTTTTGCTGAACCGTTCGGAAGCTTCAGGTGTCAAGTTTGTGCAAACTTCCCGGTTCCACTTTATGCACTCATTAAACTGCGTACCACTTTCAAAAGGGTATCGACAGTCCTAGGGCTGACACATGCTCTTTTTACACTGTCCAGTCATCGGGAGATTTCCAATAGAAAATAGACGTGTAGAGACAAAAACTGATAACCACAAAACAGTGAGCCAGTAGACTTTAAAGTCCAAACGTACCAAAAACAAGGAAAAATCAGTTGACTCCGTAAAAACAGCTGTGACAGTAGGCTTGATAAAAAAAGTGGTATTACTGAAGTTGATTCAATTAGAGTGAAAAACTAGTTTAAACGCATAGTAGTGACCGAAATTATAAACCTAACCCAGCAAGGGAAAATACCCTTGTCCTTTATAAGTATCGCGCTTTAGGATTTTTATCAAGATTCTACCAAACTTTATCTCTATTTATTTTTTTGTCTGCTCGCGATTTTATTGTGGTGTAGGAGTAGACTGGAAGCTAGGGGTTGACGGATCAATACCTGGCACAAATCCATGAAGTCTTTGACAAGTGGTCTGAGCCATGTTGTTAGGTGTAGACTACCTTGTTGGGGTCCGCTAGACCATAGTAACCGATGGTTAGAGACCTTAAATGACATGGCTCAAAATCGTTTGCAATGGCGCACCTGCATCTACTCTTTGTGTTCCCCTAAATTCTAATCTGAATTCCTCATCACCTTTATCTTCCTCCCAAATTTATCTCACTGAATTATGCTTCTTGGATAATATCTTTGAACCCTAATCTTTTTGATGATTGCTAATACTTCTACCTCTGTTACTATGGGTTTTGAATTGACAATTGCTTCTCTGTGCTAATGTGGTTTGGCAACCTGAACTGATGTACGTACGAAGTTCTACGTTGTAGCTGACTGACTGCTCGCGATTTTATGTGTGTGCATGATATTCATGGTATGTAAATTTAAATCACTTCTGAGTATATCTTTCATACTATTCCCCCATCCATTTTGGTCGTGCTCGAAATCGCGTTCGTGTGGATCACTTGGAACCTCTATTGACGACAATTTTCTGTTCCTTACTTGCTCCAAAACTCTAAACCGTTTGTCTGTGATTCCGTAAATTTCAAACAATTTGTGTTATACTATTTCGTATTCTTTCTTCTGTTTTATCATCAGAATTTTTATCTTGGGAGCTTGGGAAAATGTAGTTCAGACTTTATTTTTAGAACTTACTTCTATTGTGTGCAACACTGCTTTTGTGATTACTTAAATCCGAATCAGAAATTATTCTGTAGTAACCTAGACTGTTTCAGCATTGATATGATGTTCACTAAATCTGTTCTCTCAAATATACACACAAACAACTAATTACTTTTCAGGTCAGTGCTGCCATGTTTTCCAGAAATCTCTGTCATCCAGAAGTTGCTCTACGGGCCAATGTTTGGTTTAGTGTTTCTGCTGTAATGGTTTACTTAACATCCCTAAAATCATTAGGTTCTCATTCATCTAATGCTTAATTATCATGGATTTCTATATTTTCCTGTTATTATGTAATGAAAACTTGAAATGGAGTGTTACATGCTAGCTTTAGAAGCTACTTTTGGTTTGCTTATCGTTATTATATTTGACTGCTGGTTGTTTACGTAGTTCAATTAGCACCCATTCATAATGTCTACTGCTTTTTTATGCTTCATATTTAAACTACTTACTATTTAAAGTGCATTGTGTTATGATTTTCTCTTTACTTCCTTGTTCTTTCATTTTTTTTGTAGCATAGTTTTAACCTACTATATACCCTATTATACTTCACGTATTGCAAATTTTAGTTTTGAGAATTTGTGTCTTTGGATGCGTTTTCAGCATAATTCTCTATCATCTGTACTGATTAATTGCAGTGAACCCAGAGTTTATACGATCAAGTTATGTCGAGACCTATCTCTGTAGTAATAGTTGAGAGACACAATGAAGTAAGTTATTTTAAATATTATTTAAGGCTTTAAATTACATATATCGTGCTATTGGAAGCAAAACAATTCCTTTCTCTGGATTAAAGCTACTACATTTCGACTCTCATCCTGATATGGGTGTTCCGGATATCGACTGTTCAGAAATTTTGAGAGATCCTGAACAACTTATGAAGTTTGTCATGTTGTCCTAATGATTCTCATACTCCAGGAAAGTAAGCATAGAAAGCTGGATAACACCAATGATATATGCTGGACATGTTGATCATGTCATCTGGATGCACCCAACATGGTCTCGACAGCTTTTGAACAGAAAGCCAACATATTATTCTATCGGTGAAGACCTGTGCTCGAAGAGATTAGTGTGAGTTTGTCGGTATTTGTTTTCTCATCTACATAAATCATTATCACATAATGCTATAAAGCACGTTTATGGTTTATTCAGCTTACCATTTCTTACTTTAAAATTTAATTCATATAACAAAATGATCTAGAACTGTCACACTAACCTTGATTGGTTATTGTTTCAGTAACGGGTTAATTTATGGAGTAATAATAGTCAAAAGTGTTTATAATGAATATTTGTATTTATTTCTATCACAATTCCCTTAATGGGAATTTCTATTGTTATATACTTATAGTTTTAAGAATCAACCTGTCCGATCATTTAGTCATATTCATACTATAAGAACATTACAATTCTGTTAGGTCAATAAACTAACACAGCATGTTTTAAATAGATTGGAAAGAATGTAGGATATGTGGAATATATTGTATTTCATAGATTAGCATTAATGCTTTTGGATTTAGTGTGGTGCGAAATTTGTAAATATGAGGTATTGCTGTCTATACACCACTTATTCAATGATATACTTCATTTTGATGAGTTAATAGTCAACGGTAGTTTGAGTCGCGCTATTCGAACACCATTGATGCGTTATTATTTGGAGTAAAAGACTGTGTTACGAATATTTACTCATAGACTTTTTAAATAACACTATCGTTTTGCGATAAAACGATTGAATAACCATTTTTCAGTTATGTAAAGAGGCCAGTGCAGTTCATTTGTTGTTATATTTAGCTAAGAAGTTCTTATATCTTGATAGTTGTATGTGAAATCTGATTGTTGGTATACGTGTAGTTTTATTTTACGCCGGTTCAAAATGTGGATGTTCATCAACTCTGTCAGGTCATGATTGACCCCTAAGGGGTTGTCTTCAATCAGTGACAAAAGTATGCAAAATATTCTGGAATCTAGCGACATATGCTTAAACTTAGTTAGGGAGATTTCATCAGTATCGCCGTCTGGAAAATCGAACTTCGTTCACTTGAAAATGTTTCACATAAAATGTTCCAACTATCTAAATACTGACCACTATTGGTTTATTCTCGTCGAAAAAAAAAACAACAAACTAACTAGTTCACAACGTAGCACCTCAGAATAATGATTGGTATAATATAATATTTAATACAACATGATGAACCCCTGGAGTCTTATAGTCTGAATGCAATCAAAGATGAGTTAGGATAAAAACTAGTTGAGTTGCTGCTGGAGTTTTTGCTTATAATTGTTCACGGACAGCAGTAACTAATTTTAGAGTAAATAGAATTAATGTTGCAGCTTCTGTTGACCAAATGCTTTTTATGTTTCATAAACAGACCATCTTGTTTTGTGACTTTTTATTCTTGTTATTTATTTTAAAACTGCATATACTCTTGCTGAAATATGACCAATTGAAAAAAACAAAAAAACTTCAGCCAATGTCTCGGTTAACTATCTGTGCCAGTTTCCAGGTTTTTCTGTCCTTAATCCAGTCATAATAACTGGAAACGGCAGAATTGGAATATATCACTTCCAACTAGGGAAGTTACTTTCCCCCTGACCGTATAAAAACCTTTTTTCACCGATATAATGCTTCATATTCACGCAATATGATACAAATTTACTCTCGTTTCGTTAGTCCTCATTGTTTATTACTTTCTCTAGTTACTATCAATCTTCTAGTGATATTCCAACTTTATAAACCTGTCAATCAGATCAGTACTTTTCTTTTTGAAGTAATCCATCTATTGTTTAGACTGCCTGTTTTTGTTGAGATAAATTTTCAAAAGAAAAGTGGGATTTCTCGAGCCAGTTCATATTGTAACTTCAGGCTTTGGTAAGTTTGTGTTTAGCCCGAAGGTACAGTGGTTGGTGAGAGCAGTGTAAGTAGCCGTATGTGAGATTATCTGTTAGAGGAAAGAACAAGAGAAAAAGTGAGTCGACAACTCATGAAGCATATAGAATACACTTATCTTTGATAACAATCAGAGGTAGTGTAGTGAAGGAAAACACAGGTGGGGCAACCGAATTGCATTTAACGAAAATTACAGGGTTACTCAGTGAAATTGGAAAACCATATCGTAAATCGTTAATTTGCAAAACATCAGTTCATCATATCGAACTGGACTGTTCCTGTTGCAAAACATCAATCCATTGTCACTATTCATGCGTTTCATACAAATTCCATTGTGTTCTAACTCTTCCTTTCTTGATCTTCTCCCATATTCTGCTGCCAGACATTACGTTGACACTCACGTCATATACTATTTATAAGTAACTCACACCACAGTAGCACGAGGTTTCAGGTGCGTTACAGTATGTACGACATCTTGAAATTCTTTGTCTCCCATTATTGGAAAACCATTAAACTTTAACATTCATACACATTTATTTTATAGGGTTGGTATTCCGGAATCATATTTCTACAATGATGGTGTATTTTGTATGGAGGAGGATATTAGTTCTCCTGTCAAATTTGGGCTTACAGTTGCACCTATTCATGAAACAAATACATTATGTAGAGTATGTACAGATATTATCTGTGTACTGCTTAATCAGTCTTTCATTTTGGATATTGATTTGGATACATTTTCCACTCAAAATCCACTTTCTAATAAGTTCACCGAAGAACAAGTAAGCTCTTCAAATTTAGATATTATTATGTCTACTGAATAAAATTTGAAACTACATATCTATTAATCAACAATAAAGCATTATCTTAGTTTTCTATCAAGTAGAATCAATCTCAGTCATAATTGATACTCTGAAATCACATGTCAATAGATTAGATATATGATGCTTTTATGAAAAATTTTGTATAACATCCAAATGTGGTTGTTCATTTGACCTTATATGACCGATATATTGATTCCTCGCACAAACTCATGCTTTATTTATCTTCAAGTTGAAATGTCAAGTTGTTATGATATTCCAGGTGCCGGCATAAATCCCAATCACAATTAGTAGAATTGAAATTAGATGGAAGATTACTCATTGATTTTATATTGTGGTATTCAGTTGATTTTCATGTTGACTCATTCATTGGATTTTCATAGTATTTCCATTGTGATAATTCAATCTCTGATTTTATGTTCAAGTAATAGTTGTTCCATTTGATAACTTTTCTTGGTTAATAATCACCTAGTTTGTTTGGTCTATAGGATAGAAAGACAGATACATCAGGTAGTCGACATCTACCGACATGACTCAGTCCACTTGTCAGTGACTTTATGGATTTGTGCCATGTTTCGATCTAGCCGTCCCTAGCTTTCGTACGTGCGTACATCAGTTCAGGTTGCCATACCGCATTATCACAGAGACGCAACAGTTAGTTCAAATCCAATAGTGGTAGCGATAGTAGAACTATGTATGTATGTAAACTGGAATGTGGTTTAAATTCTTTCAGTATTTTGTTTTGCCAAATAAATCCTCCACTTAAGATTTGAGCTCTGAAATAGTTACATCTAAAAGAAAATTAAACTATCGTATTCCTGTTTAAAGTGTTGTTAGATTAGTCTCAATTACCTCAACTATCTCATAGGTTTGAGTTTTCAAAATAGAACTTTAAAGTTCAATGGTTTCATGTACACTAATCAGTTGAATGTCATTGTAAGAATCCTTTAACCTGTTGTTCCAAATGATTACAATTCGAATAAAAAGTAAGTTAAGTGTTATCAAAAGTTGACTAAACTCTAAAACACCTAGCACATGTGTAGAGTCCTCCTAACATCTTATTCATTATCTAAACAGGGTATCATGTAAGTGAAACTTTTTTTTCTATTTCATATTAGCAAATAATGTAAAACGATAGATTTTTGCTATTATTTTAATAAGTGTCCATTTATTCACACTTAATAGTGACTGATGATATTTCACTATTTACTAGCCACATTATCAGTCTGATAGGAAGCGCCTTCAAAAAATTGTAGGGTTTTCAATTGAAACGCATATTTTACACTAATAATTAATTAGTGGTAATGATATTTTAGACTATGTATTATTTTCAAATTATCTTTGACTTTAGTTTGAAATTATTGATCGTTTGTATGCTCCACCTCCACCGCTTACTTTGTGTTTATCTCCGAAAGATCTGGAAGATCCAGCTGTGATTGTAGCTCATGGTATGAGCAGTGCTCATGTTTTGAATGCTGCACGAAAACGCCAATTAACACGTCTTTCACAATGGATTTCTTGTTGGGATCGTGGATTAATTCCATCATCTGAAAATTTTCTATTATTTCCTTATGAATTGGCAGAGTTTTCTCGGTTAATACTTTCTCTTACCGAACAGAAATTTAATTCTACAGTATTAAAAGCGGTTAAAAATACTTTAGATCTGGCTTATAAACAAATTACTCAAAACAAAAATCCTCCATTAATTTCACTCGGTTCTGATGATGAAGCTATTCAAGCTGCTTTAAGTAAGTTGTTTTGTTTAAAGTATAATGCATCTAAACTTCAAATCTAAAAACATCATTTTTCATTCCACTCATGAATTGAATTCAGTTCTTTCAAAACTTTCGTAAGAAGCTTTTTCTTTGTAAAGTGAGAAAGATCACACTGAAACTAGATAAGTATCAATTTATAATTGGTTTTGTGGTAAATTTTAGTTGTTTTAAAGTGTACATTTTATCTATTCGTTTTGTAAAATATAGTAATTTAATATTAGTCAGTGTGCGTGTTATCCTCGTCATTTGATATGTTTGAACTATTACGGATTCAGCTCGGTCGGTAACCGAGAGCGAACACAAATGATCCAGTGACACTCTAATCCAAGCGTCCCAAGGCCCCACTAAGTAGATGAAGAATTCTCGATATGATGTAAAAAGTGTATTGTACAAGCACCCGAATCGAGTTTATTTATACATCATAAAAACGTCCTTGGGAGAGCCACAAAAACAGCGTACTAAAATAATACGTCAACCAATAGCAACCAAGGATTTTCTGGGTGGGAAATGTAATCCCAAGGTCAACTGACCAGCCTATGCGCTAAAACATAAAATCCAAAATTAAGACCTTTATTCATTGAGTTCTGGAGATCTAACGTCCCTAGCAGTGCGTTAATCAAAGTGTTTGTGACCAGAATATGTCATTTAACATGTGGCACTAGATTTTTACTGTTAAACAGCATTATTAACAATAATCTTCATCTTTTATAAATCGTATGATTGAATGGATTTTAGGATCATATTCGATATCATGTAGCTTATTTCTTTCAGATAACTTTTCTATTGGAAGGAATTTAAATTTCATTTATGTACTAATTAAAGTTCATTAAAAATCCTCGTTGGTATAAAAAGAATGAACAAAGAAACAGTTAAAATGTCTCAATGAATAGAGAATTGAATTTTCCGCACTTTGTGGCCTAGTGTTATGCTGTGTTTTTTTTCACTAAATAATTTAATAATGAATTAAATCAACACAATTTCAAATAGTACTGAAAAAGGCGATAGAATAGTTTTAGTTCAATGCAAATAAGTCAAATGGTGTTCATGTTATTCCAGTCAAATTTGATTCTTATTGGGATGGAAATACGTCAGAAATTCAATTCCCCATTTATCATTGAGATATTTTAAGTGTTTCTTTTGTTTTATGATTAACACTCTACTCAATTGTCAGTTTTTTCTTGGAATAATCAAGTTAAATCTTAACAACAACAATACATGCTAATTATTGTGACTGGTTTTTCTAAGCCTATAAGAATAAATTTACTTTTTTTGTAATTCTAAATTAGATTTTTAACCATGTCATTCTATAATTGAAGAATATTTGAAATAATCTAGCAGGAATAGATAAATCACAGAATGTCACCAGTTAGTTAGTTATTTTGCTTCATATTAACTGTTGTACCAAGTACCGGATCAATATCCTGGTTTTCTTCAGATAAAGTTGGTCTCTACAAAAGTTTCTACAAAATTTGCATTTCAACTTACTCTTTTATTATCTAGACATAATTATTTAGCTATTCTATTGTGGTATCACCTAAAAGTTAAAACTTCATTTGATGTATATATATATGCATATATTCCATTCCAGGAGATTTAACTAAAGATTCCAATTCCAACATAACTAACAACTTAATGGTGGATCAGAATACTTCAGAAAATAAAGATTCTTCAATTGTATCCGATTACACTAGCCTTATACCAATGAAACGTCGTTCCAGTAGTCCAGGCATTGTTTATACAGATTCAAAATTTAAACTACGTTCATCTGAACCGTTTATAAGAACGCTGAATGATGATACGAATCATGTTGAAATTAATGAACATTGTCCATTGTCAAACACTGAATATTCTATGGAAGTAGAAGATGCAGATTCGTGTAATCAAAATGGTTTAGATGAAAATCGTAGTTTAAAAGTAGTTTTAACTAAATTAGAAACAAATCCAAGTACATCTTGCATAATTGATGATTACAATGACAGTGATGATATTTTAAATGTTCAACAATCTGATGATGGTGGTGTTGTTGTCAATAAACATAATGAAGAAAATTTAAATTTTATGCATTATTTATGGTCTGGATGTGCAGATCAAAAAAACAATGCATTGCCACATTCTGTGAGTTCAATTATGTTTGATGCTTATTCAAACAACTTGTTATGCCTGCATGTAAACACGGCAACTTGATATACTTGAACTGTTACGAGTTTACCTAGTCGGAAAACGAGAGCGCGGACCGAGGATCCGGTGACACGACATGCTACTCAAATCCGATTATCCCAACCCCCATATTGAGTGAAAATAAGAAGACATGATATGAAGTAGAACCTGTATTCTATAATCATCCAGAAAGTACGAGGTCCGAGTCTAGAAGAGAATCAGGGTCCCGGACTAGGGATCCGGGACCGGGTCGTGGTCGTGGTCATAAAACGTTACAGATAATGCGAATATATTCATTTTGGTCGAATAGGAAACATCATCGAAGCCTGTGACGTTAACAGTTAAGACGAGCAATAGGAAGCGACATTGATAGTCAGGACAACCAATAAGAAACAACATTGGAACACGTGACATTGATATCTAGGGCGACCATAACATTGAATAGTAGGAATTAACCAATAGGAATGGACCAATAATTCTCTTAAGATATTGGATGAATATCCTAACACAACTTCATACTCACATTAATGCCACTAGAATTTCATGTATTAAAATTTTTTTTAAAAGGTTGACTTTACACTAAATGTTGCAAACATTTGTATTAAGTAAAAAGAAAATGTGGGTATATATTAATAAAACTATTTCAAATGTAGCATTGTTATGAAAGCTACAATCAATATAGATTTTTTCAACATAAAATACACAGTTCTTACATTGTACATGAAAACTCCTTATAAGTGTTGTTTTAGTGATAACCCAACTTCATAAATGAGTAAATTCCGTGTTTCAATTAGTCATGTACGATTTACTTATCTTGATGACTAACAAACAGATATCTTCAACACGATGAAGCCTTGTACAAATATGTATTAAGTCAAGTTGGTACAGTACAGTAACGCGCTGCAAGATTTTATTTTGAAAGTTTGCATTCTTTTACGTCTTCTAAGAAGGAGCTGCTTAATCTTCTTGTAATGTATGGGAGCGATAGTTTTGCTTTACTCATGAAAAGTTTTTTTATCTCATTATATCCCTTCAGATAACCAATACTAAAGAACAAAGTGAACTATTTGAACAAATGGAAGGTTTGTTAAATCGTTTACACAATCCTTGTATCATAACAATTGCTAGATCTGTATATGATGGTTATACTCCTAGTGATCAAGTATCTGATATTCAGCTTGGTTTATTACAAATGCTTGATCGTGTTTATGGGCGTAATTTACTTTCAGTCACTTTAGATTATGAAAAGTAAGTGATTTTTTCAGTTCATAAATTGATTATTTTCGTCTGTGGTGATTATTATTATCATCATCATCATCCTTTCTGTAACTTAACTAATAACCCTGATGAGTAAATTCTATACACATAATCTGACTTGATATAATGAATTTTTCAGAAGTAGAATGAATATCTAACTGTTCCATTACAAGTTCCATCGCGACGCTAATATGATAATTAGAAGTATTTGTATTTAAGTATCAAGAACTACGAGGTGAGCACAAACGAATGTACTGTATTTAGAATTCGAAATCAAGCATTCATCAACAATCAAGAAGTCACAAGTTCATTCAAACACCACAGTCAACTAAAAATGTTTACTTTAAATTGAAGTTTTTATATATACCGCATAATTATTGTTTTCTGCATCATTCTAGTGCTGAGAATAACATAGATACACTGAAAGCAATGGGATTTCATATTGTTACTCCTGAAGAATTCCAAATGGGTGGTCGTCGTATATCTCCGATGTCGCGCCTCGCAAGATCTGACGGTACCGGTGTTGCTTATCGTACTGAACCCGGTCGAAAAGAAATAGTTTAATTTCACTTTTCAGCCTAAGCTATTTTCTAACTGTTCCATGAACATTTGTAAAACCTGATAGTTAAACCGTTTTCTTGCTTTTACACTAACTTTCTGGGATTTGTCTTAGTTAAACCATTCGATAAACAAATTCACCTTTTTTATGTTTTCGAGCTTCCTTTCCAATATTTCTGTTTATGTATGTCATTAGTAGTTGTTCTTTTGAAGTAGTTCGGTATTATTCTGATTTGATGCATAGTTGAGCGAAAATCCATTAACTTCTACCAACGTAGGGTGTATATATCGCTTCTTTATATCATATTACTTGTCAGTTGACGAGACCTGACTGTATGGTATCATATGTCTAAATAATTGCGGATAGAATGTGGACTGTCGCTTAATTGGCTATGTGTAGAAGCAATGGTCTGGTGATGAATAAGATACTCGTTAATAGATGGTATTAGGTAAAACAAAGAACAAAAGTCCTAATACGGAACCCTAAATATATCCTCCAGGAATCTTATGCTCTGCAGCAGTAGGTATTTTACCTTGGAATTGAACAGTCAACTACTTGAATCTGGTTGGGACCGGTCAACTACCGATTGCAAGGTACATGTATATATGAGCTTGCCAACGAAACCTGCATGGCTGGTCCTGCCAAATGTATTACACCCTCAACCTATGTGCAGATGATAGTGTTCCATCTCTTGGCATCGTCGAATTTCTTGACAATTGTGCACCCTCTGTGTATATGCTCACTAATATTGTTTGGAAATATTCACCACATTCTATCTACAGGTGGACTCTTGACGCATGGTACATGGTCGCTGTTAGCGGCATGTGGAATGAGCTTGTAACCGTGACTTGGATTTTGACCGTTGCCTCTTGATTAGACTTAAGTAATATTCATATGTAAGGAGTTTATATAACACATTTCGGGGAGTTCGATATCATTGTTGGACACGTTTCTACATTTAACCATAAATTGGGAAATTTTCCAATTATGAAAACTCTTGAAATTAAGTTGACAGGATGCAAAGGAATTTCCAAGACAACTGGTTGTAGTAGCGACTTATCATAAACATTCTGCCATCTTGACAAGTGAAATTTAGTCTGATGCACATGTCATAAGAAGACTCAGTGAGATGTTTTTCAACGAATCGGTTCATCAGATATCTCTGAAGATATGCATGTAAAATATATATGTGGTCCCACGTCTTTGTTCTGAAAATGTGGACGGCACTGTGAGGTCGCTGCCAGACAGTAAGATGGTCCACGTTCAAGTCAAATCTGCTCCTGTTGCACTTTTGTTTTTTGGGCAGTCCAATAATTCGATTCACAAGTTCTTACAGAGCATTTATATCAGTCGGAGAACTAGCTACTCATCTCTTCTAAGTCCATCATTTATAAGTGAATATACTGGTTCCCAAAATATAACTTTTTTCCTAGTTCAGAATAACAAGAAATCAATCCACTGAAAGCCTGTTACACTTGTCATCGTTCTCTCTACTTATAGTCCATTAGCAAAAGTGTTATTTATAGCTATTTCTCCGTTCCTAGATGTTCTTCCGGCATTAATATGAATCCAGAGAGGTCATTGATTGTATTGTTACATTGTCTAGTGAAGTCAGGGCCTAAGATGGCTTTTGTTGAGGATCGAGAAAACTGTCGAACCGAATTTCAGGAAATAAGGTGATTTAATGTATGTTTGGAAGGCAATTTTTGACAAAAAATATGTGTACTGAATTGGTTGGTTGTTACGACGAATGGGTATGATCTGATGTGAGTAACTGATCGCCTCTGGTGAAATTAGTAAGGTATGTATTAATATCTAAAACTTGAAAATCTGGTAATGTATGGGATAGATTTAGCATATATATTGCACTCTCGATCCCCCTAGCAAGGTAGTGCTGACCCTGAGCTACGGTCAACGCGAATTTTAAACTCAACAGACGTATTGTTCGTGAACATTTTTCATAGCTCGCTACTCTTAGTAGTCTTTGATTTCTTATCCTATTTTAGGGAGCCATATGGAATACAATAGTTACGATAACCGTACAATGAAAAGCCCCAGTTTTTTCGTACTCGTCATTGAATATTTTTCTTTTCAAGACATCCTGGAGAAGAAAGAAATGAGCGTGTAAGTGCATTTCGGAGTACATTTGTGTTTGCTAAACCATTAGGAAAGTGGACATCCTAAAATTACAAATGTATGGGCAGGTATTTGACATACTGGATCTACTCTTTTGGTCTGCCTTCCAGTACGTGTGTAAAATATGAGCATGATCAACACAGTGCCATCACACTTTTAAAACCTTTTTATCGTGCGATAATTGATCCTGAACTACTCATGAAATTATTCTGTTCCTATCGAGTATGATACGTTACTAATTATAGACAAAAGCCTCAGCCGTCGTCATATTTATCTCTCCCGAACATCATAAGCTGATACCCTTCCGAATTGTATCTCTTATTTGGAAAAGGTTTCCGCAGTTTCCTAATGGGGGCCAACTAGTTAAATGCTCTCTGACTGGTTGATTTTGGGGATGTTCATTAGTCACCAAATTCAACGAACAAGTGCCTAAAGTGGGCTGCTTCAGATTGTTGGCAACGCGAAATTTACGACAGAGGTTTTTCTGTCAGAATATATAAAAACTCGCAGTTAAGACTGCGTCGTACTGAAACTACAGTTCAACCCTAGTAAAGTTTCGTTTCAGCTTTAGTTATTGGCGATCGCTTCGCTGTTGTGATGATTACATCATATTTTTGAGTCAGTAAGTTGGAAGAGAATTAGTTTCATTCTAGGAATCCAGTGTCTAGACATTCAATGCTAATGTTTTCTCTAGTTTTGCTTTTATCAATCGTATTGTGCTCCCATTAGCAATAAAGCACTTTTTTGGTTATTCATACGCAACTTCGTATTGTCGACGCATTAAGTGGTGAATCAGAAAAGCTTATGGACTAAGTCATTCTGCATATTGGAAAAAAACACCAGTTGATTATATTCGAGTGGAAACAGGTCGAATTGAACGCTCTCAGTTTGTGAACTCGCTCATCTTCCTCCTACTAAGAGGTGTGAACGGTAAGCAGCCGTTCGGAATCATGTTATTACTAGGACTAAAGTTGAGCGGATTCGGGCTAGTTTCCACTGTCAGTAGTAATGTTGAGTTGAAAAAGTATTCTGCTACTTATTATTCTGCGAAGGTGTGAACAACTTTTTCAACGGCGATATCTGTTACGTCGAAATTCTACTTTTCTCTAAGCTTGAATTACGAACAACTAATAAATTCTTGTAATAAGTTACCGAACAACGAGGACCTAAAAATTCTGTAAAAATAATCAGATGTCACTTGAAAATTGCGAGAGATCAGTACAACTACCTCAATAGTCAAGTCCCCAGAACAATATTTGCTTGGCACAAACCAAAACTGAAAGGTGCCAAAAAAATATATATCAATAAACAGTTTCATGGTCTACGCAACACAAATGATCGGAACCTGATAGTTATATTGAGATCCATGTTAACAGTAGACAGTTATGTACAGTGTGATTCTCCTGTAATAATTTCCCTGACAGTTAAAAATCCTGACCGTCGTTCAAAACGTTTCAAAAACCTAGATCAACTGTCCAGCAATTATCTCAAGAAGGATGATAGTGGTAACAAGGTACTGTTTACCCGCTGTTGTAATATTCCTCCGATTATTGAGTCAAATTCGTTTACCGAGATACTAAAGGGGGTATGTCACATCAATTGACTTGCCGGAGTCTTCGCTCACTTTTGGAACACTTTCGTCACAATGTCAGCTGAGTTGATGATTTTCTCATTTCTACGTAGCTGATCTGTTTATTGTCTCATAAAAAGTGGGTGAATCAGAATGAACAGTTGGTTGAAACCAATCTGTCCTTTGAACAGCAAGACTGCCCAATCATGGTTTTTTGTAGATAACCCAGAGTGGTCGACTTAACATTTTCTTGAAAACGAATATCATGGACCTTAATGTGGCACTAGATACAGTTGAGGATGCCTGTAGCAATTTGACATTTCTAAACGATAACAGAAATAACTTGTCCCTAAAGTCGTCGTTTGCAAAAATATCTTGAAGCCGATGCTTGTTTTCATGCCAATGATGATTAGGTTTTGTTTGACCAAACTCAAGTTTGCTGCAGGTTCATTGAATGATTGTTGATGTTTGACGTCCCACCGGAAACAGTTGATGGAATCCTCTTAGGTAGATATCTGGTTCCATCTTGTTGGAAACTCTTGATGATTCTCATGTATCGAATACTTGTTGACTAACCCTTCTTTTTGCGGTTTAGTACGCCATTTCGTATAAGAAATACCACTGATTGCATAACACAGGCCGTACCGCTTAAGGTGTTTTGAAATTTCGCTATGATTTGTTTCCTGTACTAAATAAGAGCCGTTTAAATTCAGCATGGAATTTGTTTTCGGATTTAATTTCATTCGAATCACTCAAAAACGCTTTTTGCTGTATAAAATAAAGTATTTTTGTCCTAATAGACCAAAACATCGTATGATAGCTCTACGTTCAGACTTCATATTGGCTACTCGGTCATTATTTATGCTATAAAACAGTCATCAACATAAGCATGCACATTGATGAGACCCTTTTAAAAGTTATCGATAGATATCTGGATAGTCGTATAGTCCAAAGCTGGTCGTGATAGCAGTTTTAGAATATCTTCTCCAGATTTCTGGATTTGGGTGTATAATCTGACAATGTTAATTTTTGGAACAGCAGTTGTACCTTTGAAAGTAGATGTCAGTCATGAACTTCAGGTAACCCGATTTCGTATCTACTCTTCGATAACCAGTGGTCGACCTCTAGTATCTGGTCTCCTTTTTCAGGGACTATATGAAACAAAACGACTTACAGAATGTTTGCTACTCGGGTAATGTTTAGATCTACCAGGTGATTTAATTCTGTGGCAAATCTTAGATTTTCAGGGCCTAGTCTTCGGGTTTAAATGGTGTACATGGTCATACAGAGAAACGGTGCCTAAGTTTGCTCGCCGTGTATATGAATGGAGGACGTTTTTGGTACAGATTCGCTTGCTTGATAAGTAGTGATTTGAAGAACGGATCCATTATATGATGAGACATGACTAAGCGTAGCACTTCAATAGAAATAAGGCTACACGGACAGATAATTTACCAATACCGCCCACTAAACTGAGATAGCTAAACCTTTCATAGATGTTATAGTTACTTCGCTACAACTGTCACCTCGTGGAACATAAGACGTTATTCACTAATTTTAGACCTTCACAGTCGTGGCCCACCTTCACGCTGTTACTGATTGCATTCATTCGCTTGATATCTGCTCCCAATTTATGGTGCAACATATTTTTGGTCTACCTATTTTCCTTTTGAATTAAGGGTTCCGAGTTTGTTCTTGCATCGTGACGCAGTTGAGAGCTTTCTCTTTGTTTTTTCCTCAGATAGAAGCTGACCTGTTTTCACCTACAGTTGTTCGTTACTTGTGATATCTAACAAACTGTGTATTATTACCCCTATATTTTGAGGAATGGATTTTATGGTTTCAGTCCTATTCAACAGAACTGTCCTGAAATTTATTTTAATAGTCATGAATTTTGTGTTGACTGATAGCCATTTTCTGTTCGAGGTTTTCTTCAAGAATGGAAATACCACGCTAGAATCACAAGTGTTTGCTTTCAGTATGGTTCAGACCAATGAAACTGCTAAGGTATGAAACACTTCCACATAATCCAGAGAATATTCGTTCGGCGAGACCTGGTATCTGCCGAGTGTTGTGTTGAAGAAGCAGATTGAAATTTCGTCAACCAATGACTTTCCTCCTACGTTGCATATTCGCTGCAATATCGATAGGTCAAGTCCTCAGTCCTACGACTTCCCGTTCAAGAGTTTGATGATCCTGATATTCGTAACGTGCTTGGCACGCTGTACGCGTGGAAGTCAGCTTCTGTAGGGCAGATCAAGGCTCTGATTTAATCGGGTCAGAACCAGTCTGCGTTTCGTTTGCGAAATCCTAGGTATTTTTTCCTGACATTAGAACAATAAAATACACAATTCTGCATATTCCGACAGAAACCTGTTTCAATAGTCTACTCACACCTAAAGAATTTCTTGAACTCAGAGGTCGTCGCGTGAGTATCGAATCCGGGCGTTTAATTTGCTAGTTTATTAGACGCATTCGATTTATAACATCAATGAAGTTTTTGTCCTTTTGTTACATATGTAAAAAAAGATTTTTGGGGAAGTCAGTTAGCTAAAACTTGAAAAACAGTTTCAGTGGGACAATAAACATCAAATTTTTAGACAACAACGGTGTTTTCCGGTATGTTATCACCCCCTTTGACATCCTTGCCAAGTACCCTTTTCCTAACAACAGCATTATTTGCTCAACGATCCCAGGATATACGAGCTATGCTTCTAAAACACCTATGATCAAATAATAATAACTTACTAATACTCTCTACTCTCAATAGCCATTTTTCATAACTGTTTAGTAGGAGAGAACTTTCGCACAGTTAACTCATGCTTTGTTTAGCAAACGGTTATGTAGCCCACGTCATTAATGACGATAGTCGGCAGAAGTCAGTCAAGCCTTCTGAAACCGTGCTGAGATTTAATCACACATCAGGCCATCAGCACTGATAAGCGGAGCGGTCAGCACGCTCAACCGCTCCACTCCCTATCACTAGTTCACGTGCCAATGCTCACCAATCCTGAATCAACATTTTGCATTTCGAGGGGGAAAAACGCACCTTGAACCAATATATGTCATTAGCATATTTCAAGTCAAGTTGCCGGAACATATTTAAAGTATTTACATTCACAAAAGTAGTTCGATAGAAGCCACACTGTTTCATATTATTGGCACTAAACAACCGTTATTTTAGTCGTGTAAACATGGTTGTGATTACATCACTGTTGCGATACACATCTAGACTTAGTAGTGGTTGAATATTTTCCATCTTGAAAATTAATGATCTGCATTTAGCTGTTTGCATTTCTGAACTCGGAATTCGATTTACTTATGCATTTTTAATACATCTTGTTTGACAACATGATCCCTGCAACTGTATATTTTTATTTTACGGCCGTAAACCTTTCCTATTCGCTGCTATGCTATAGCATCTCTAATTCTTTGAGTTCGTATGAAATTCGCAATGTTGATATGAGTTTCATTCCTAAGTGTTTTTTAGAATGGTTTATCTAACATATGTGGTTCCTAATTCAGTTTGTTTGTTCAAGATCTGTGCTCTCATTCTACTCGATAACAAGGGTTTGGCGGCAATCTACAAGTCGTACTATTGCCCAAGATAATCAAGTCCACACAATCGTGTGAACCCAATAAATACAAAATCAGTTAGGGTTATTGATAAGGTTTGTAGCTCTTAGTTTCAAATGCAAGAACGAAAGTGTTAGGACATCCAATTTAGCATCCTATATGTTCAAAGTTAATACTTAATTTGCTCTGTCTTAGCAGACGTAAGCAACTAGGGAATTTTAGAGATACTTGTGTCAGTTAGCTACTAAGTAGAGCTAGTTTTTTCGTACTTCAGTTGCATTTCCTAAATATAAATAGGTTATTTGTGTTAATTTTAGCATTGTTTGCACCCAGTCAATGACTACCATCGACATCGAAGAAGGGGAAGTTGAAGATTTAAGCGGCTCTGACCATGAGGATTCCGTACATGAGTTCACAGACTACAGTCCACCAAAGTATTGCAAATTTTTCTGTATATTGCCTTCACAGAGTTAGTCTTCGTAAGTCTTCGAGACGTAAACGACGCTCTCAGCATGGAACTGGGAGGTCTAGGAGTTCTCGCCGTGAAACTACTGAATTGTTAGGTGATGAAGATAATGAGCTCCAGAATGTCGATGCACAGAATATTAATAATAAGCGCTCTAGGGAGCGAGCTAAACTACCAATTCTTGAATTCTTATCGGACGATGAAGTTGATGCCTATGTAATGGACCGTGAGAAACTCGTAAGTTCAGTTAACTCTGATATGATATGAGTAAAAGGATAAGACAAAATCATCTGAGGACGGTCGTAAGAAAAAAAAGCGAAAGAAAGATGGTCCTCATAAATCTGCTTCTCAATCTAGGTGTAGATACTATATGGATGGTCGTTGTAGCAAGGTTTGTTCTTTTGCCTAAGTTTCACCTACGAGCAGGGGAGTTCTTGCCCATTTCTTCACGATTTTACGCCTGCAAAGAAAAATGAACTATGCAAATTTTATGCTGTTGGTGTTTGTTCCAAAGAGTTTGCGTGTTCATATTTACATGGTGAATTTCCGTGCAAATTTTTTCACCTGACAAATGATTGTCATCATGGTGATGATTGCAAATTTTCACACGCACCTCTCACAGATTTCACGCGCTCTTTGTTAGAAAAAATATCATCAAAGGTTAGCTTAACATTTATTGTCAACCAACTTTCATCAGCATAACGTTGATCGCTGTTCATCTAAACCTGGGCATATACGACAACCTGACCCAAAACCTCCCATGACTGGCCATCTGAGAAGCAATAATCATGGTGATGTTGACTACAGATTTGATCAAAATCCCCCACAAATGTGAGTTAGTAAGGCATGCTACTGATAGATTTGTATGTTGTCACTTTTCATTTGACAAACTCTTAATGATGCGTATTATTTTGATGTAATATATGTCTGTTTTTATTCCCCTCATTAATAAAACCAGCTTTTAGTATGTAGTGTGACTCCCTGTCATATCATTTAGGACGGTTGAAATTTTTCCCTTTTCGTTATCAAATGAACCTGTTATAACTATACTTGATATATCGTACATCTGAAACCTTTGAGCAAGATGTAAGTGTTCTTACTGTTTTTGTTCAATTGACTAATAACGGCAATCACTCACTGTGAATATTAAAGTCGAATGCCTTTTGTTAAATAGTCTGCACTTATATGATGCTCAGTATCCTGTGATAGAAAGGATGGGATTCCCATCCGTTAGACCTTACAGTATTGGGTTGGCACTAGAAGTTAGTGCATGCATTATGAATTAGTTGCATTGCAGTACGTACTTTGAGATAAATCTTATTAGCACAAACGAGTTGCGCACATGTTTGTTACTTTATATTGTTCTTTCTCATAGTAGATTCTGGTGTATTCACATGTTTATCAAAATTGTCATTTTCACTAAAGTTCGGTCTCGGTGTTTACCATTGCTGCTGTTTACTCATCTCTATTTCGCTTTGTGGTATTAAGTGCTGTAGTGGATAATCGCACTACAGTTCCTAGCATTTTTATTGTACTTCGTAATGTATTCTCGGTGCACCACTGCGAAATAGCTATGCGACTCGTATTTTTTGTTACTTCTGGAATTTAAAATAAAAAATGAAAATGAAGAGTTATAGGTGGAAATGAAATTGGTTTGTTACTAATACTCACTTGTAATTAATAGGGCTGTAAGCCATGACATGGGTTTTGTTTGTTCTAAAATCTCCATTTTCCTAAGTATTCTGCCTGTCGAAAAATTAACATGATATCAGTCATCAGCTATATGACTAACAGGATTTTTGCCATATAAAAAAATAACTGACAGATTTTTACTAATTTCTGTTATTTGGAGTTAGTCTACTTTCCTAGGACATCACCGAACCACTGCAACTGTTAATCTGAAAATGTATACCTATTACAACTGATCATGTACAAGGTTCGCTGGTCCCCCCCACCTTATTTCATCCCTTTTAGACAGGCTCATGTTTATTGTCAAATCACTGTTTGACATCCAAAAACTGGTCCCATCGGTTGCTTCAACATTTAGTTGTCACTATTCACAGCTTTTCCACTGTCTGTTCTAGCCACTTATTCCTTGTATTGTTTGTAATGCACAACTATTTCAGTTGTCTTTCTAATTTCCATCTAGTTAAACTAAATACTGGCGATCGTGGTTGACGAGTGCAAGACAACCGTCAGGAAACTTATTTACATTACGTCAACAGTTGTAGTCGACGTTTTTGGTGTCCATTTGTGTCACTGAGTGTACGTTCGTTGTAATAGTGGGGAGACTAATTGTCTATAACTGTCGCTCATCTAAAGAATTATCAACGCACCAACCTTAGTAGCTATTGACGTGTTCGTTACTTAGTAATCTAAACCAGTTATCACAAACAAGTGTCTAGTATCTTAATCCAGGGATAAATTCAGCTAATAGTTGTCTTGCTTTGCAACGGTTAGATAAATGGAGTCACAAGGCAACACATTCTCATAGATATCATTATTATTCCCACCTCCATACAAAAAAGCTGCATAATTATCTTATCAGGCATGGATTTACTGAGGTTTTGGCCACTGGAGGCATGAACTACTGCTCAGCTGCCTAAAAGAAAGTAGATGCAACGGTATATGAACCAACAACCTACTGGCTAACAACCAAATGGTTTGACTACTAAGCTACCGTACCACAAAGTTTAAGTTATACAATTGTTGTAAGTTTATGACAGCTGACGTCTGAAATATGTCAGTTATCAAATCTTGTCTTCAGTGGGCAATACTTGTTAAATTGGGACTAGGTTAAAAGAAGACATGCTGTCAACTCATAAGGTCGATAACAATAATCCTGTTGCATCGGGTGATGCATCTCAAGTTGCGTCTGTGGGATAGCGTTGTTAGAAAGTGACATTCATGGTACAAATATTACCACTTTCTATCTCCCACTATTTTCAACGTTCCAGTTATGTATTCCTAGTCTAGTGAAATGAAGACATATTTGTTGGTTTGAAGTTGCGATATATACTAGTCCTAATAGGTGATTAGTCCACTCAAAGTTGTATAAACTTAGTACAGACTAACAGTAATAAACTGTTGCCTAAACCTAATTAAGTAAATAGGATTAGAATATGCGGTCAACTGTCTATAGTATGAAAACCCACTGCGCTGGACTGTTTTGATTAGCATCTCACAATATATACGTTGGTAGTAAAATTTTAAATGCTTGTGTTTTGTGGTCATATTTCGGCACGCAAAATTTATCTAAATTAGCCATAGTCCAGGGTCTCCCAGTACTTAGGCTCGCTCTTGCGCATACCAGACCAAACTACTTCGGATTTAGGATGTTCCTACGCTAAAATTTGCTGATTGCTTGATTGTCAGTCAAGCCTGATACTGTAGGTTTTCCAGAAAACCTTAGCAAATGTTATCACGTCTCTCTTGTTACTGTTACATAGCATCCTGCTACTCATGTGTTGCGTATGCCTAACCACCGACTGCCTAGTCGAGCTATGTTTTGTGGTGTAGGTTGGAAAAAGGACAAAACATGGCAGGAACCCATGAAGTCACTGGCAAGTGGACTGAGACATGTTGGTAGGTGTCGACTACCTGGTTGGCACCCGCGAGATGATAGTAATCGATGGTTAGTGACCCTGAATGACATGGCTCAAAACCGTTTGCGATGGCGCAGGTGCATTCATTCTTTGTGTTCCCTCAAATCTTAACCTTCTGAATTCCTCACCACCTTTATCTTTTTCTTTTTAAGTTTATCTCACTAGATTCTACTTCTTGAATCACATCATCAAGCCCTAATCTCTCCGATTACTGCTAACACTTCTCCTACCTCTACTGTTATGGAATTTGAAGTGATAATCGCATCTCTGTGCTAACATGGTGTGGCAACCTGAACTATTGTGCGTACATACGAAGTTCTATGTTGTTTTTGATTGACATCTCTAGTTGCCTTATTTTGTCTTTGATCTCATATAATACCTGATTTCTTTGTCAGTCACCTCATGGTAGTAGAAATGGCAGTAACAATTAAGTGTTTGATGTTTATTATTTTTATTTGATGTTCCCCTCATTCTACGGCTTCATGTTAATGTAGAATAGTTAGATATACATTAGTTTCCTAAAAATCATCCAGTTTTGGGACAAGAAAAGATGAAAAGTTGAACACAAGTTTTAATGGTCTTGCATATATTTAAGAATTAACAGATACCTGATCTATTTTTAGAATTTTCACATTTTGTTGCCTGCTAATCAAACACTTTTGATTGAATCTTCAAAAACTTTGATGTCACTAATTTAATAGTAGGATCCCATTAGTCTCCAACACATTTCTCCGTAACGTGGGTCTATATGAAATGCCTTCAGTTCTTAATAGTGTACAATTATGATAGCAAAGTACTAATTATCGTCCGTTATTTTAAGCTGTACAGTTTTAAGTGATGGATATACGTTCTGATCTTCATTTACTATTAAAACGTTAGTATTAAAAAGGTTCATTGTCACTAACTATAAATAGACTGTTAACACGACAGCCTCGCATTATCCTTCCATAATCATATGTGGATTTCTTGAGTATCTGACTTCATTACAAAATCGTTACGGTCGGCACAACCCATTTGCATAGAAATTTATTCAAGGAACTAGTTTCTTATGATTCACTGAAGCACAGTATTTTGTCATCGTTATTGTCAAAAGTTGTAACTCTTAACAAATTGACGATGATACTGCAAAGATGTTATTACTAAAGTAAGTGGTAGAATTGGTTAGAATTTTAGGACTCATAGTTTAGCAGTTAATTATCTTATATTCACTTGCAAAATTCATCTTTTTTAAGGAATATGTCATCTGAAAAGGAACTTGCTACTCTTGGTTTCAGTCCCCAACGTATGCCAGTTTCAGCACCGAATCTCTTCGCTCCAATATGTACTCCCAGTCCTCGTCACTTTCGACCAGAGCACGACGCTTTGCGCGCCAGAGGAATGCGTCCGTTCAACATGGTTCCTGGTGAGCAGATGCCTCGAACTGTATACCCCAAAAATGACCGATGTTTCCCTCCACCGACACCTTACGGTCCTGTACCATTTCAGTCTCAACACTCCATACCTAATGCATCATGTCCACCTACAGTTAACGGATTTCGACCTCCGTCACTACTTGATACACCTCCTAGATGTCCACCTTCAAGAATGATGCCTCCACGAATGCGGATGATGGACCCTGGAAATATGAGATTCCCTCGTTTTGGGCCTAGATGCGAGACGTTTTATACGCCTGGAGTAAGACCACCACCACCTGTCCGAACGACCTTCAATGCGGTGCATGAAGAAGCCATCGTTAGCTCGGAACTCGACATGATGGCAGCTCTTCTTGCTTCGAGCAAAACAATGAATGACGATTCTAAAAACGTTCCAGCTATCGCCCCTTCGTCACCTGCTTATGTAAATGAGCATAACCAGCAGCCCGAAAGTGCAAGTCCACCACAAGTAAGTTATTCAAACCAGTATATTTAATGATTAATTCAACATAATGTGTCCATACCTAGTACCATATTGCGTTTCAAACCATTTAAGTTTTCAGTGATAATTAAAATATTTGGATCAAACATCAAGGACTTCTACTGAATTCGATTCACTATCATGATGATACCGTAATACTTGTTGCGGAATTAGTATTGGATATTTAAAATTCACAGCTAATATTAATTTATCAGAAATGATCAGTTTATGCTGATGCGAGAAGCTTCCTTGTTCTATAGGCACTGACCTACATTTTGCTACGTTAATTTTTATGACGAATTTTTTTCCTACCCACTATTTTAGCCTTCGAAAACTGAAACAGAACCAATCCCTCCTAGTATCTTGGTTGAAGATAAGTTCGTACCTGAATTTACTACGACTACAACTCCACCTCAGGGTCCAGCACCTTGGCGCCTCATTCCTTTGGACATGACTGTCAAAATTCCTTATCCATTAATGCAGCTCCCTGTAGATGACTTGCCATACCGTTTCGATGATCCAAGATTGCGTGGCCAATTGACTACATTCAGACTCCAACCCCCATCGAAACTTTCTTCGAGTAGCAGTGACCCAGAAAATTCGAAGTGCAATGATGAACCAGAAGCACAACATCGCAGCGAAACTGTCACTGGAACTAATGATGAAAATTCAGGTGCTTCAACACAAAGACGACCAATCAAACTACAGTTGCACGAATTGGCCAACACATTTGCTAATACATCATCTGATCACTTACATGTATCTAGTCGACAAGGTGATCGCTCCTATCTCGATGACCCACGATTCCGAAGAAGAAGGATCGTGGTCCCAGCAGCAACCTCCCAATCAGCTCCAAACGTTCTCAATCAAAGTAACCCTAATGGTACAGCACAAACTACACAAGAATGCTCCAACTAATTTATTTAAGATCTCTACCAAGCACTAATGTGCATGTAAATGAATCCCAGTTTTATTTATTTTAATAATTTATTAAAATCATGAACATGTACATAAATAAACCAAAGTTTGAACAGATCAATTTCAAACAAGTTTTAAGTGATATCCTTATCCATAATTTTTCGTTTAGACTTCAAAACTTCCATATAGACTGTTCCATCTTAAGTATTGTTCCAGATCACCGGACGAATTACTTGCTCTAACTTGCCTGAAGGCAGCATGGAAATCAGCCAATTCGACTGGTCTAACCTTAAAAGAAAATATAAGATTATCTACATATTTGTAGGTGATAATGTTAGAATGCTTGAAGTATTGTGACCTACAAACTTTACTGTCTCACACTTTATCAAATTCTCTATTTAAACCTCATGAATACTATTAATGGGTTCAAAATAGAGTGAGAAGTGGAACCTGACAAATCACTAACTGTATTATTGAACAATACATAAAGTAGTTAAGAAAGCAATGGATTTAGAGAGAATGGTAAGTTTTACTCTCAAACGGAGGCTGTTTCGGGAATGATATGATTAAAATTCTTGTGATTTTAGATCAAGCATCTCACTCACCTCATCGCATGATATGTGCTGTATTGCTTCGATTGTCAGAGAACGTATGGGTCCCATCGCGGCTTCTCGACAGAGATTCGCCATGTCTGCACCTGAATAACCTTGTATATTCGAAAAACACGATAAACTTTACACATTGACGTCAAACAATCTTGTAAAGGATCATTATTGAGTAAAGACTGGTTAACTAAGTTTAATATTACGCTGCGAAATACAAATAAGTAGCACTTACCATCAGCACGGTCAGCAATATCCCAAAAATCACTTTCTTGTAGTGTGTGATGATTCTGTCGTAATAATCTCTGTACTATTTGCTTTCTCGCACTTCTGGTAGGTAATGGAATATACAATCGCTTGACAAATCGCCGTCGGGCGGCCTCATCAAGTTCTTGAGGTCTGTACGATACAGCAAAAAGTGCAAGTAGATATCACCAGTAAAGAGGTAAATGTTTGATCAATGCACTTGAAAGCTTACAACCTATAACATGTAGTTTCTGGGATTATGTTTAACAGTTTGATTAGTTGAGGGTAGTACAAGGAAAACACTTCCACATACTCAAAAGCACTGTAACTCAGGGCAGATGCTACCTTTACAAATCACTGGTGGTATGTAACGGTATGGTAACTACAAGTGTTTTATTTCAAAGAAAAGTACTAATAATGCTTAATTTTATAAGTGTAATTGTTGTTTGATATGAACAACATGCGGAGAAATTTAGAGAAACTAAGTCTGATTAATCTGCTCAGTGATCAGTAAGACTGAACGTTCTACAGACACTAGGATGTATTATTAATATAAACGAACAGAAAGTAGATACCTGTTTGTAGCTCCAATGAACAGCATACGTTCATCATCATTCGTTGATATTCCATCCTACAACAGAAATCCTACGTTTGAGATGTGTTAACATACATAGATGAGTAGTAGTTTAAGAAAAAAAATGAGACAATGGACTTACTAGTTGTACTAAGAACTCAGTTTTTATCCGTCTGCTTGATTCATGTTCCGTTTCAGAGCGTTGGGTAAGTAAAGAATCAACTTCATCAATAAAAATAACAGATGGTTGGTGAATACGAGCAATTGAAAACAATGCACGCACTAGTTTTTCACCTTCGCCAACCTAGAAAATAGCACAACAATATAAAATATGATAATCTCTATGGAAAAAATAATAACTATTAAAACAATCAAAGTAGTTATTCTAACGTAAATAATTATTTACTTACCCATTTTGAAGTAAGAGAGGAAGCACTGATGCTGAAGAATGTGGAGTTACTTTGTGATGCAATACATTTACCTAAATTCGAGAGAAAAATTTTCTGTATTTAGTTTCAACAGTGAGTTGTATTAACATCTACTCATTTGTGATGAGGCTGAGCTTACGATTGCTTACTTTGCAGTTGTCCATCTCAGTAAAAACAATGATTGTGCTTAAATTTTGGCAACGAATCTTACTGTCAGGTAATTAGGTCATCCAACTTTCTCTTATAAACTGAACCAACAAACTACATAAAGTAACTACTCACTGTGAGCTCAATACCGTAGTAACCAAGTGCAATAGAAAAGTGTAGGTGCTTAACAGTAAAGTGCACGTAATACTTTACATTTTTCGGATATAAGTATTTCACAGAAACTTACCGATCAAAGTTTTTCCCGTCCCAGGGGGACCAAAAAGAAGCAAGCCTTTCGGAGGTCCACGAAGTCCAACAAAAAGATCTCTAAAGTTGAGAAAGGTAGCATAGGATGTTCGATAATACATCGGGGAGATATGACGTCATTCTTATTTTGCAGTAATGTTAGAAAAAGAACAAGACCTGTATATTACTATTAGACGATGTTTATGGCTGGGGCGTGAAAATTCATACGTCCCATCCCTCAAAGATCGTTTGAATCACAAGTCTGCGTTAACTGTAAGTGGATCACTTCGAGTCAATGGACTTATGTAGTGAAAAATACTCACAACGTTTTATAACATATCCACTAAAAACTATAGTCAAGGGAAATGAACTGTCTTAGAATTGATTGTGAACACAATTGTTACAGATGCAGTGATATATTATTCAACCATAGTAGGCTTAATGAATTACGTAGATTTCTTTTTTTTTCGGACATTTTAATGTATGTAACTTTTTTACTAGTCATCTTTTATGTTGCTACAGTTGTCTAACTTGAAATATTCAGTATCATTGTCAATCATAAAATAAATAGAATGAATGCATCTGTTTATATGAAATTTATGGGATATCAGCATTTGTAAACGTAAACAGTAGATTGTGAGAATTAATGCTAGCTAGAAAGGTAAATTACACATTTGAATCAGAATGAAAAGATATTTAGTTCATTAGACGAACATACGAAACAAACATTACTAATAGTTAATTTGAAATCTAAGCATTTGGCACGATCCATATTAGTCAAAAATCATTGATCAACAACAGGTTCTGTCAATACATGACCATGTGAGAGAGCTAGGGGGCAGTGCGACAATCTAACTTCATGTTTCATACAATGTTATGGATTACTAATGGATCGCTTTGATTATTTTATCTTTTTCTGAAACAAAATTGTAGAATGTAAAACGATTAACTCTATCATGAGATCATTGACTGTTTGGTTGGAACTTTGAATCATGCTATATTAAGAAGCCTAGACGAATGGTAACGTCTAGGATTGGTTTGCGGATGATTATTAGTGTATTCTATTCACAGCTACTTTTGGCTTGTTCGTGTTTAAAGGTGTTTCCTTGTTTTATGGTGTGACGTGGTTTCATATGTTCGGTATATAAGCTGTCTGTTTGAAATATAATGAATTTAATGGGGGCTAGCTACGGACTTCTGGGGCAAGGTAGAGAGAAACAAACTATCACGATGAGGCCAAACAGTGATTTGAGTTGACTCACGGTCTCTGGTGCTAAGGGTAATTCCTGATTGACGTTTTGTATTTGTCATGTGATATAGGTCAACAGTTAGGGATACAACACTATATCAATATCACTTAACGTGAAGTCTCTATGTTAAAAACTGAGTAAAGTGGCGCTCATACTGATATAATCACACGTTAGGTAATTCATTATATATCATGAACACTATTCTGTTAGTTGGTTGGCATACTTCATAATTTTATCAGTTATCAAGAAGTTCTGGTAGAACAGTGAGAAGACGTAACTGATCTGAAAAATGTGATGTGTTTGCACTATACATTTTTCACATCAGTTAAGTCTTCTCACTATTCTATCAAAATTTATAAAAGGAACTCATTGTTTTAAATATCAAAAAAGTTCCTATTTTGGATGGTCAATGAACTCTTGTAATGCTAAACAAACAGATTTTTTAAGTCTAGACGACAAATACTTTATTTACAAAGAAATTTTCCATTCTATTTGTCTATACAATATCATCTATGATTCATTTTTTTCTGGACACCAAACGTATTAACTGAAGGTATAATAAGACATTATTTGACAATCTATTGGTGCGTGAATTTCGATAGTGGCTGTTAAGCTGTCAAAATAAAGAAAAACTTCTATGTTTAACTATCCAGTTGACCAGTTTTTATATTGGTTAGGAAAATGTTTGTTCATTATACTGGTAAAAACTTATTAAAAACTGTATTTAAACCATACAACATGATATACTGATAAGTTATGTTGGTAGCTAAACATGGCTTAGTACAAATTTTATAAACTACCACTGAATTTAATAGAATCCTATGGATTCACTCAAATGAATGTAGTTTATATATGAGATAACTAGGCCTTGAAAATCCTTCTTTACATAATCCTGGCATAGGTGAAATATAAGTGTTTACATGACTTACGGTCTGAGCATTGGAAGTATCACAATTTCTTGTAATGTCTTTTTAGAAAATTCAAGTCCAGCAATATCATCCCATGTAACTGAACTCTTGGAATCCATTATCTATAGCAGAAAATAGAGATTAAAATATTGTCACAGGTTTCATAGAAATTTAGAAAACAAAACTAGGAATCAAGCAGTTTGTGTACACATAATGATTAGATTAAAGTGAAAAAAAAATTAAGAGAATGATGATAAGTTCGATTACATGGTTTGTGTTTACTTTCATGAACATTAAGATTTTTGTAATTTAGAATTTTAGTTACGAGATGATTTGAGTAAAGTATAGAAAAATATTTGGGACCTGGGTTTATTACAATCACATGAACCCTTCTCGAATCTCTGACTGGCATTATAATCATAAAAGCATGTGATGAGGTGCGATATGTTTCTACTAAATAGCACCACTACAGGATAATAGATTCCAAGGACTTTGCGCATTGTATGATGAGGTTTAATTGATCTGTTGCTCATATTATTGGTCTAATGTGAAAAAAGTTGTTATGACGAGCAGCCTCAGTATGAAAAATCATCATGTTCACAAAATGTGTTGCTTTCTAATCAAAATGGCTACTAGTGAAATATCACTTACTTAAGTTTAAATAAATAATTGTACAATATTTAGGAGACCTCGTTGTAACTTGCACTGAAAACTTCTATTAAGTGGTAAACTTTCTCAGTCATTTGAAACAATAAATAGTAAAATCAAGTTCTAGTACATATAACTTGGCTAGGATGAAAGTATATTCAACTACCAGGTTGAAAAGAAGGCCGATCTCAAAATTAAATACGCATATAGTCTGTAAACTAATTCGTAGAGATGATATACCGATTACTCTATGGCTATTCTGAAATAAATTTTACAAAAATGGAAATAATTCTTTCACTAACTACGATGAGTCACACAAAACTTGTTATTGAAACTCAAACTTTGATGAGAACCATAGGAATAGTTCACAAGTTTCAATTTGCTACTCAGAGATAGAAATTGCAGAGACGGGTCGACTCACTTCGCACAGATAGTGTGTGGTATTTATCCGATATCGTAAGTCATTTACGTACATAAAGAACAAAGCATTGATTATAGTATAACAGTGAGCAACTAACAATCCAGGATAGACCATCTACAAACATGGCAGTATCATACGAGATTAGTCAAACAGCCACATGCAACACAGAACCTGGCATATGTGCACATCGGTTCAAGTTGATAAACCCCATTAGCTCAGTAAGAAGCGGTCAGATTTTTTGTGGAATCAAATCTTAGTTCACTTAAATACATGAGGAACGGGGTGCTTATTCTTTCACAGCATCAACATATATATCTAAGTATAGATGCCATAAGTATAATTATAGCTGTGATTATGAATCCTGCAGACGTTTAATAAAAGGATGTCTAAATTTATTTTCTATGGTTTGGAAATACTCTACGTTTGAATGCACCACGCGATAAAAATAAATGAGAGAATAGTAACAATAGTTGAAAGAACAAGAGTGATTTCTGCGTAATGCACGGTGAAAGTAAAGTATGGGTGAGGTAGTCGTAACACAATATGCAAAAAATTTGTTCACCACAAGGTCACATTACATAAATACCACTAGTCCAGTCAAGTGAATCCTTAAGTTCATAGTCTTTTGAGACCATATGTTGTTTAAATCTTTTGATTTATTAAGAAACATACCTTAATTTGTAATATTTCATGAGTTACCATTGTCAATGAAAGTTCTCAGACTGTTACTTATCGCAACTAAGAATCATATTGCCTATACTTTTCCAGGTTTATTGAGTTATTTTCACGCCGGATATCATTCAGATGGTAAGATTATTAATGAAGGAATTAGAAGACACAATGATAAATAATTATCTAGTGTACTGACAGTTGTTAAATTTAGAAATATAGAATGTTTCAAGTTTATCCATGTTGAGGTCATGCAAATGAACCACAAAAGATACATAGTTAGCATTCGTGTTGGTCTCTATTTAATGATGTTCAGTATGAAAGTCACCGTACAGAAAACAAGACTTCTGGTATACTCAAGAATATAAATCCTGACAGGTGGCTAGTCTAAGTTGAATTAACGCCGTGGTAAGCTTACCACGGTCAATCTTAATATGGAATCCCATGTAGGATCAGACAAAACATTTGTATTCTGAAATAGTATATTACTTTTATGGCTCCGATGCAATAGGTGAATATTCAAGTGAGAAATATAGACTTGACTCTGGTATAATTAAAACAGTAAGAATAAAAAATCCAGGATAAAGTGTACAATAGACTTATGTGTATCATTGAGTCGGGAATTACAAATCAATGACAGTCAAAATGGTAATAATGCAATCAGTAAGTGATGAACAGTAATTAAGCTAATGATCTTGAACACAATACCATTCGAATGTTTTGTATATTTGTGTCAATAGAACTAGATGCTTAATCCAAAAGGATTTCTTTCTTAAGGTTAGTGCTTAACTACTATTTAACTGGGTAAAACTGGTGAAAACACAGTTAGTCTTAATCAAAATAGAGTCCAGAAGAAATGCGCGTCAAACTGAGTTACCTTATCACTTTAGAACAAGATGACATTAACAAAAACAATCCCAAACACAGTCAAAATGGTAGTGCAATCAATGATAATGAAAACGATTGAAACAATCAAGAACAGTATGAAAACAAAAGATGAATATGATGAATCAAACTTGTTGTGATAATTGGCATCTTATAATGCTAAAACGGAAGATTTTGTTGTTTTCGATTGTGATTTTATTCTACCACTATTTTCATCAATACTGTGTCAAGTATAAGACGAGTATTAAAAGCATTAAATTGATTATAGTGAAGATGATCATTTCAAATATTTCATCTGGCAGAAACTCTTCTTCTGTTTGGTTTGTAAAAAGTTGGAATCCACTAATTAGCTGCGAAAAGTCGAAATCTTCTAGCATTGCTATTGTTAGAGAAATGCTTTCTAAAGTAGAGGTTGACGTATATCTCTATTTTTATCAAATCACTGTACAAATTTAAACATGTTACAAAACTCATATCTTTTGTTTGATAACCTACTACTGTGAAAGCTTTACACTAAGTTATTACTAATCCGTTATTTTATTGTTAGGTTTCTCTTGAGAAATTAATCAAATTAACCCATATCAAAAATATAATATTAGGAATTGTGAGAAAGCATAACACGTATTATAATAGCAAGATTATTTTTAAAGTGAAGTTATGAGGTGATGAGATTTCAGACAATTTAATATATTGATCCAAAGGTCATTAAATATTTTAACCGACAAATAGGTCCCTCGTAAATTGTATGTTGTAGGGGCTTTTAAAACAATATGTTGACACATAAGTCAGTCAGTCAGATGCAACGTAGAACTTCGTACGTATGTACATCAGTTCATGTCGCCATACCACATCAGCACAGAGATATAATTGTCAATTCAAATCCAATAGTAGAAGAGGTAGTAAAGGTATTAGAAGTAATCGGAGAGGTTAGGATTAGAAGATACTATTCAAGAAGTATGATTCAGTGAGAAAAGTTTAGAAAGTCAAAACTAAAAGTGTTGAAGAATCCAGAAGATTAGGATTTGAGAGAACACAAAGAATAAGTGCACCGGCGCCATTGCGAACGATTTTGAGCCATGTAATTCAGGGTCTCTAACCATCGATTATTATCATCTCGCGGACCCCAACCAGGTAGTCGACAACTACCGACATGGCTAAGTCCACTCGTCAATGACTTGATGGATTTATGCCATGTTTTGGTCTGGTCGCCCCTAACTTTCTTCCAACCTACTCCTACACTACAAAGCAAAGCTCGACGAGGCAGTCGGTGGTTAGGCATACGCAGCACATGTCCCAACCACCTCAAGTGATGAAGTTTCATTACTTCATCTATTGATCTACCATTCTTACCTAGCACCCGTTGACACGTAAACAAAATCTTCAGTTGCCTTATTCCAGTTAATCGATTGTTGCAATATAGAACCGGGTGTAAATGTATTTTGATTCTTATAAATATTCTACACAACTTACTTATTATTAGTAAACTAAACTTAACACGAAATCAGATTTTTTTAGTAATATTCTATTAATAAAGTTAGTGAGTGCATGGAGAATTTAGAGCAAACAAAATGAATTCGCTTCATTCCACAACAATGTTTTTTTATTTACAAAAAAAACACTTATTGTTTCAGCAAATGTATTAACAATACGTAAGTAAGCAATTTACATTAGCAATTCAAAAATAATAAAAAAAAAACAATTACCTCACTCATAATCATATCTACAATCTTTTGATCAAATTGTTTCAGTCTTTCATCACATACTGATGATTCTGATTTGTTTTCCGTGGTGTAGTTTGATGTTGATTTCGAAGTAGAGTCTGAATCTTTATCAAATGGTGGAATAAAACTACTTCGTACGCCTCGACTACAATATGAAATAGAATATCGATCGATCGACCATCATCATCATCAAGAAATCAAATAATAACACAATGATAATATATCTATGCCATACCTAAGGAATGCTTACAAGCTAGACAAAGAATTGAACTTGAATATCAACAAAGAAGGTAAACTGGTCATAAATAATTAAATTGATCAGTCGTGAAAACTTATCATTCAAAAGCATCTACCAGTATAATTTACAAAAAGACTAGTATAGTTCTCATATTTATGTCATATTCATTCTGAAGTATATAGTAGAAATAGTTTATTTCAACTTTATATGTATTCTTTGACATTCGATCAAGGATGTCAATAAGTTTATGCTTAATGCATAGACTTCAGTTATGCATAATTATACTTGACTAGAATGAGACATTAAATAATAAATAAATAAGTAAACTTCACTATTAGTATTTTTGTAAAAATGAGATAAACAAATAATATTGCATCCGGTAAACCAAAAATGTTAATATTTCTATAGAAATTTAGTTTATCATAAGCGAATATAGAACCTATCACATAAATGTGTGCATTCGTTCAAGTTGTTACATCATATAAATAAAGTGAGATGAAATTATGAAGAGAAATAACAAAGTAGTAGAAATAATAGAAAATATGATCCAAGAAGAAAGAATAAATTATCAGGATAAAAAGCACAAGATAATTTTTAAAACTCAAATGAATACATCTATTGGCACTATTTTGACCGATTCTCAGCCATATTATTCAACACTAATAGACAGACCGACAGAAAGATACAACACAGAACTTCGTACGTATGTACATCAGTTTAGGTTGCCATATCGCATTAGCACACAGACGCATTTGTCAGTTCAAATCCAGATAGTGGTAGAGAAAGTATAAGTATTAGCAGTAATGGAGAAGATTACGGTTCGAAGATATGATTCGAGAGGTATAATTCAGTGAGATAAATTTAGAAGGTGCAAGATAGAGATGATGAGGAATTCAGAATGTTAACATTTGAGGGAACACAAAGAGTGGATGCACTTGCGCCACTGCAAACGATTTTCAGCCATATCGTTCAAGGTCTCTAACCATTGGTGACTTTCGTCTCGTGGACCCCAACCAGTTAGCCTACATCTACCAACATGACTCAGTACATGGTTAAAAATTGAAACAATGATAAGTGTAATGGATATGGGATTAATCTTCTTCGGCACTTTTATTATACAATGATGAGGGAATCTGGGGTTTGAAAGTTATCTACTAGTTAACTGTATATAATACAGTTTAAGTCAATGAAAATGTAAAGTATTCCAAAAGATTAATGTTCATATAATGAATTTTATTTGCATTTGTTAACGTTAAAATAAAAATGCAGATAAATGCCGACAAAAGCTGACTGTCACAAGATATATATATATATATATATATATATATATATATATATATATATAATGCAAGCTTACCGACTTCCTAAAGATCGTTTTGAAGAGCCATACATCTGAGATAATCTATTGTTATTTGTATTTTGTTTTGAATCCAGGTTTTGTTTGAGCTTGAACAATAATGATAATTAATGACATTTACAACAATGCATACAAGTTAAAACAAATTAAATTTTTTTTGAAAAAAAATATTTATTCGTTCTTATACACTTTGGCTAGTTTAGCGAATTAATGAACGCAGGAAGTAGACAGACATTGTACATTGATTGGTGTAAGTAATGAATCGTGTAATCTTATTTTTGCATTACGAGGTTGTGAAGAATGTCAAGTTACTCATTGAAATCAATAATCGATCAACATTAGACCACCATCAGAAACCTGAAAGCACTGGACGGCCGTTTCGTCCTGGTATAGGACTCATCAGCAGTGCGCATCCTTTGTAAGATTCGTAAGATAATTTAAAACATTGGCTTGAAAATGATTACAATATAATGAAATGAATCTACTCAACATTTTTTATTTGTTTAAATGTTTATTGCTTATTTGAATGTCACGCGATTTGATTTGGATATTTTCTTGTATGAGCTATCTATATATGTAGTGACTTGAGTATTGAAAGTTTAATGTTAATATATATTTGTTTCCCAACAGTCTGATTAATAGTTTACTGTTTTTATTATATTACCATCATTCCAAACATTTATACTGATGACAATGAAAGTATATTGTGAATTCTTACAACAAAATATCTACAGACGTTAACGCATCGACAACAAAAGATATACTTTTGTGATAAGCAATGATTCCCATTGAAAATCAATAACACAGAAGAATTCATTTACACAATAAGGATGATTGTCAAATAAAAAATAGTTTTATATTACGGACTGATTTTCCACAACCATGGAAAGTCAGAAAGTAATGAACCGCTCTTTTCTTTAAAACAGGGAGATGGTTGTATAACATGAAAAACAAATCGAAGACAATGTGAATCATTTCAATGACGATTCAGTAGCCTAAAGCTAAGCGTTAGTTGCAAGACCTAAAGGTCTTGGGTTTAACACTAGGTGGAATTGTAGATGCCTATTACCAAAGAGTATCATACTGGGATAAAACAGTTGTCTGGTGCCTTTTGGTGTCCAATGGTTGTCTGACCAAGATGAGTCTGTAATGCAAACTATGAAATTTAACAACCTTCACAAATTCCTTTTAGCGAAAAATAATAACTCACCAAAGATCCTGCCGTTTGAAAAAGCATAGGCTCATCAGATTCAATCACTTCAGTATTGCTATTCATGGAATTCTACAACAAAATGACAAATTGAATCTGATTACTTCACAGTAGTTCATATTTTCTGATTTTTTAAAATGTCTTTTAGGAGAAGAATGATGTTTTTCAAAATCCATTGAAGAATGTTTTTGACCAATAGATGAAAGATTTACATTTGTACTTTTGACCGGTTCAGTAACCTATTCATGAAAAAAATGAAAAATATTTCTTATAGTATGGTAAAAAATTATAAAATATATGTAAACGATTATACTGACAGTTATGAATCCAATCAGTGATTATCGTAATAATTGGATTATTTATTTGTTTTAATCTTGTTAGATAAGTTTTATTTGAGATAAATCGCAAAGCAAATAAGAATGGCTCTGTATACTTTGAAACTGTGAGAATTAAATAATGTCCGGATTCAGAGAATCACCAATTTTTAAATGAAACAGCAGATAAGAAAAGAAACCACATCGGTAAGTACGACAGATGATACGACATCTGACGTATGTATGTTGAATTCCTCTAGAGTAAATAGTGAAAACAGATGGAGCAAATTTGTTATATGGTTCCATATATGATTGGAATGTATCAGCTAAGAAACTTGGAGTGGATGTAACTTAACACAATAGTATCACAGAGATATTTTACAGCTGAGATGAATAAAAGTCTTTACAAAACTACTTTATCACAATAATATCATAATTTTGGTTTGCTATGTGGTTATAAAGAGTCCAGAAGTAAGAGATTTATCTTCGAGAAATCAAAAAAAGGAGAACAACTGATTATTACGGATAAACTGCTGTGGATATATATTTACGAAGCTTCAAAAATTAGAAAATAGGACGCACTGATCCTAATCAAAACTCTACAGTTTAGAAGACAAACTAATCACATTTATTTAAATATTTTCCTAAATCTATTAGTATCATTTACACAGTTAATATGAGAAACCAACTATATGAGCTAAATCGGTAGATGATTCTATACCAAACAGCCTTCGAGCTCTTCAATGATCGGAGGGAATCTCCAGTGAGAAGACTAACTGGATAGTTTATGAAGACCTAAGATTCAGGAAAGATTTTCATCATATTGGAATGAAGGGACTTATGTTTTCATATTTAAAATAGACCTATGTACTTTGAGCAGCAGTTACTGAGGTATAAGCCTATCCTCTACTGTTTTGGAACTATTGGATTCTACTATACTCCATAGATTGTGAAAAATTCATCAGACAATTTCGCTAGTAACAGGGTAATTTTCGTTTAGATATTAGGCACAATGACCATACGTTTGCGCTGTAGCAGACATCGCATCACATATACACTTACTATAGGTTGACAATAATTGTGCTTCTTGATATCAGAAATACATTCAACAGGTTTGAAAGGATTGTGCTTTGGGACTGTCTGTTGAAGAAGCATGTGCCTAAAACGCTAATTAAAATCTTTAAAACTCTGTACAAAAAAATGACCATATCTCTCCATTATTTTAATCCAATAATGGGATGAAACAGGGTTGATTAACATCATCATTCCCCTTTAATTTTGTTCTTAATATCATTCTGGAAACAAATCTGAGAGAAGTACGTAGTGGTGGTGATGTGAATTATTTGCCCAAAGGACTTTTTGACTTCCAACATGCGAACGAAGTTATTTTATTGTGCGATAAGCCTGTCCTTACACGCATCTTGAGGTGAAATGTTGGAATTAGCAGAGAATTCGTGCCAAAGTGGTTGTGTGAGTGCTAATAGTTGCGTGATATATGAGATCAATTTATGAATAATAAGAATTAGAAAGCTTATGCCAATTTACGTCATGTTGATTTTAATTTGACTGTAAGAGGTAGAGTGTAAATAAACAAATCTAAAGAGAATGAATAATATTCAATAAGAATAAAGAGTAATCAGATGTTACAGAATTTATTACAGTTGAACCAGTTTTATACTGTTCATATTTTTAGGTTAGAAATTTATTGCTTACTTGGTTATAACTTTTTCCCTCGAACAGCTCAGTTAACACGCTACAAACTAATAACAATTAATCTTGGAAATTGAATAACATACATTTAGTAGCATCAAAGTCATTAGGTAGTGATTGGGTTGGCAAGAGACAAGATTGTTCAACAGTCTATAATAAGCTGTAAAAGTAAGTAAAACATACGACTGCTTCAAGTTCACGTAAGACCATGTCGACTGTCATTACACTACGCCAATGATTACTTTCTAAAAATTAAAGGATAAGAAGAACAGAACAAACCATTTCTACAGCCTTCAGCAAGCTTGAGTGCCCCATCAGCGTAATTATTGATTCCTACAGCTTAATAAGCACCATTCATAACCTACCATTCTTCATATTATCAACCAACTCAGCATATTCACTAAGAAGCAAGTCAACATCAAAAGCATTACGTCTAAAAATGTAAAATTTGGTTACTAAGATACCTTTCCGGAATTTGTGAGAAAAGTATTTCTCGTACATATTCAGCTCTATTTTCTTTGTTTACTTCTGACATTATTAGATTCAACTGATGAATTTCAACGAAACACAGATTCGTTTAATTCGATACTTTGATTAGAGAGCAAACTGAAGCATCTGGCAACAAGCAAAAGGATAGAGAATTGATCTTAGTGAACGATTGGGGTACATTGTTCAGTATCCAACATAACACTAAGGAGAGCATAAGATCAGATTACTAAGCTAATCATGAACAGTATTTAAGAACTAGCAATCTCAAGAAATTAATAAAACATTCAAACTTCGTAGATAAGTAGAGCCCATCGCACTTCCTTACAAGAAATTATGGAAACTCATTCATTCGTCTCATGTTTTTGTCTGTAGATTTTATAACTAGTAAAGTAACAAGGGACTTTTGCGGGGCATACTCACTAATTATTGAGTAATTATATTGCTGGCATTTTGAAGTCTGATTAATGACGTAAAAGAATTCCAGGTCTAAGTTTACTTTATCCCTGATCAGACTCATTAAATCTATTTTACTTCTCAAATTAGTGGTTTACATAGCTATACAGATCGGTTCGTATTTAAGGATGACAAGGCTTTCGAGCTACAATACTGCTCCCACGTTCTAGGAAGCATGAACGTTAGGTTTAAAAAGGCCAAGCGGAATGGATTCTTCATCACCTCTATTTTCTCTTTCTAAATATACCTCACTGAATTATACTTCTTGAATAACATCTTCGAACCCTAATCTCTCAGATGACTTCTAACACTTTTACTACCCGTACTACTATGGGAATTGAATTGACAATTATATTTCTGTGCTAATGTGGTATGGCAACTTGAACTGCCGTACTTATGTGCAAAGTTGTACGATGCTGATGATGAAGCGGAATGGATTGAAAGTTTCAGGAACAATAAAATCCCTAATGTTGTTTACATTTTTCGTACTTTTGATGTATGTCTTCACCATGGTCAGTACATTTTATAAAATAATTAACTACCTAAATCAGTCTGTTTTACAAACAGCTAATTCAAATGAAGAATATAGATACCGCCCCACTGAATGCAGTTCAGACGAGGTTAAGGATGAGTTTTACAGAAAGCTTTCGGACCTCCTCCAAAAAGCTAGGCGCTCTGATATAGTAATAATGGCTGATGACTTTAATGCTCAAGTAGGTAGACTAAGTGAGCAGGAGAGACACCTAGGTGGATGTTATGGTGTCGCGGCTCAGAGAACAGACAATGGTGACCGTCTGTTGCAAGCATGCTCAGACAACCGCCTATTCTTAGCAAACACTAACTTTAGGCATAAGAAAAAGCATCTGTTGACCTGGCGACCTCCAAAGTCGTCTCAACATTGGACGCAACTAGATCACATCGCCATTAGCCACCGATGGAGGGGTTCGATAGAGGACTGTCGCTCGTTCTGGAGCACATGTCTAGATTCAGATCATGCCCTAGTGCGAGCGCGTATTTGTTTGAAGCTTACTGGGCGTAGGAAAGACACCGTAAGAAAGCCTCTTAGGGTTTTACTTAATGATAATAAGGCGAAAAATATATTTCAGGAACAACTAGAAAGACAGTTAGGCGACCATTTAAGCGATTCCCATCCGGAAGCAGGATGGAATGATATCAAAAAGGCTGTGGAAACAGCAGTGATATCTGCTATTAAGGTTGACCATAAGGCTAGAATAAAACCGTGGATCTCAGCAGCATCCACCGATCTGATGGATGCCCGAAAACTCATCCCACCTGGCTCTGAACATGATGAAGAACGAAGTCAACTTAGGCGCAGACTTATAAAAAGCCTACGTAACGATCGCGAACAGTGGTGGGTGGCGAAAGCAAAAGCGATGGAAAAGGCAGCGGCGATCGGCAACAGTAGACAACTTTTCCGACTTATCAAGGAAACTGGTATTAGGAATCCTAGTGTAAGTGAGACTATCTCAGAAAATGACGAGGCTATTATTTATTCTCAATCCAGGAGACTGGATCGATGGGCAGAACACTTTAGGGATCAGTTCAACTGGCCACGAGCCACTCTTCGGTTACCCACGATCTCCAGTCATCCTGAATAGCAAATCGACGTAAGTCCCCCTAGTCTTAATGAAGTTGAAAAAGCGTTAGGAAATCTGAAACGAGGACGAGCTGCAGGTCCTGATAGACTGACCCCTGAGATATTTAAGGATGGTGGTCCAGTTTTAGCAGCTAGATTGACTGAGATCTTAGGTAGAATCTGGGAACTGGACGTAATCCCATCCGACTGGTCTCAATCACTGATTGTCCCAATCTATAAGAAAGGACAAAAGTCTTCTTGTGACAATCACAGGGGAATAAGTCTAACTAATATAGTATCTAAAATATTGGCCTCAGTAATACTTCGACGCTTAACGAAAGCTCGTGAAGAGCAAACTCGAGAAAACCAATCTGGTTTTCGACCTGGACGTGGCTGTATAGACCACATTTTCACACTACGACAGGTCCTGGAACACAGACACACATTTAGGCGTCCTACAATAGTTGTTTTCCTGGACCTTAAGGCGGCATTTGACTCTGTGGATCGTGAGGTTCTGTGGCAGTGTCTGTCATTGAAAGGTGTACCAAAGAAGTACATTAACCTCATACAAGCTCTCTACTCAAACACCACTGGTCAAGTGAGAGCTTATGGCGAACTGTCACCGGAATTCTCTACATCAAGTGGTGTCCGTCAGGGATGTCCACTTTCTCGATTTTTGTTTAATTTTATCATAGACATGCTCCTAGACATAACATTGTCCTCGTCTGAATTTTCAGGAGTAGACCTTTTACCAGGTGGCTCGCTTATTGACTTAGAATATGCCGATGACATTGTCCTACTTGGTGAAGACGCTGACAAAATCCAGAGTCTTCTGACTACCCTAAGCAACAATGCAAGCATGTTCGGGATGCGGTTTTCCCCCTCGAAATGCAAAATGTTGCTTCAAGATTGGGTTTCATCGGCACCTGAACTAGTGATAGGGAGTGAAGTGGTCGAGCGAGTAGACCGCTTCACTTATCTTGGGAGTCTCATCAGTGCTGATGGCCTGGTGACTGACGAAATCTCGGCACGGATACAGAAGGCTCGATTGGCTTTTGCCAACCTGCGTCACTTATGGCGTAGGCGAGATATCCGTTTGCTGACTAAAGGACGAGTGTACTGCGCAGTGGTTCGCTCCGTGTTACTCTATGGCTGTGAAACATGGCCAATGAGAGTAGAAGATACTCGTCGGTTATTGGTTTTCGATCATAGGTGTCTTCGAAGCATTGCTCGTATATCGTGGGACACCCGAGTGAGCAACGCTGTTATTAGGAAACGGGTACTAGGTAAGAATGGCAGATCAATAGATGAAGTGGTGAAACTTCATCAGTTGAGGTGGTTGGGACACGTGTTGCGTATGCCTAACCACCGACTGCCTCGTCGAGCTTTGTTTTGTAGTGTAGGAATAGGTTGGAAGAAAGTTAGGGGCGGCCAGACCAAAACATGGCATAAATCCATCAAGTCATTGACGAGTGGACTTAGCCATGTCGGTAATTGTCGACTACCTGGTTGGGTTCCGCGAGATGATAATAATCGATGGCTAGAGACCTTGAATGACATGGCTCAAAATCGTTTGCAATGGCGCCAGTGCATTTATTCTTTGTGTTCTCTCAAATCCTAATCTTGTGGATTCTTCAACACCTCTATTTTTGACTTTCTAAACTTATCTCATTGAATCATACTTCTTGAATAATATCTAATTCTAACCTCTCCGATAACTTCTAATACCTTTACTACCTCTTCTACTATTGGATTTGAATTGACAATTATATCTCTGTGCTGATGTGGTATGGCGACATGAACTGATGTACTTACGTACGAAATTCTACGTTGCAACTGACTGACTGACTGATATAGATACCGGGAATCCCAATTTTATGAACATAAATGAGACGGAAAGAAGTTATTTCTACCAGTGTGTTCCTGTTCTGGTACGTTTGGTAAGCTTATTAATTGGATTTTTCATCTCGACTGTATTATATCTGCATTATTATGACTGCAAAAGGCCTAAATGGCTCGACTTGGTACTGAGAAACCCATATCCAATCACCAAACGAACTGGTGATAAGGATTTACTTGACTACTCCAAAATCAAAGTTATACACCAATACACCACTTATGATTAATTTAAGGTCAGAGATTTGTGTATTGAACTTAATAGTGCTTAACATCATCTCCGGCTTTAATAAGTTTGGTACTATTTCGGTCCTTACAGTATGGAAAAAGCAATAAAGGTATTCAATATGTTATTTGAATATCCTATGGTTTGAAGATCTTACGGGAATTTAAAAGTCAAAATTAGATAAATTGGTACTGTGGATTAAAACATTATTGTGAACTACTTACTGCTGTTGCAAAAAAATCTATCATATTTTTTACTTCAATTCGAAATTTAAATGACAATGTACTACCTAACTGGTTTGGGTCAATTTTGTAGGACCTATAAAATGAACCAACAATTGAAGAATATACCTACTTTGTATGAACAACTTTACGGTGGTTATGACCGTCATAAAATAGTAACAAGAATGATCATACTGTAGCTATTGATTTGGTACGGTGGTCAGACATAATTGTTGTTAAAATTTTACTGAGCTAGATAGAGTGAATCTCATCACGTCAGGGAGATAAACTTGGAACCAAGGACATTAGGTCTTGGGTTCGAGGTGGAGTTGTGGTTACAGCAAGATGTTTCATACCTATAACGAGAATCCTCAGTAGAGCTACTTTCCTAGAGTAGTAAGACATGAGAAAAGATCAGTCTCAACAATGCTAAATTCCCTCATGACTAGAGTAATGAAGTGATGCTACGAAAGGCACTGAACCACAATATGTGATGAGTAACTGGGATTAGGTAGCTTTTTCCCGATGTTATAGTTAGGGTATCAAGTTGATTATGCCATTTATTTTTATCTTCGGAGAAAAATCCTCAAAAAATTCTTTTATTTACTTGATTTGAATGAAATGTGATTAATTCCATAGTTACCGTCAAATACGCATACAAGGAATATGTGTAAGGAGGGTAATCATGGGTACACGAGTGCCTGGGAGAAACTAGTGGAACAACAAAGTCACTATAAAAACTTGAAAGACCTGGCGGTGTTGCTTTAAATAGTTCAATATGTGGTCGTTTGCTAAGAACGAGTCAACAACCTAACAAGTCACTATATACACCAGAATGTAACTTGTTACGACTATGTCTCGAAACGATTGTTAAAAACCTAGAGTTAGCCTAATAGCCATACGAAGATGAACCATCAAATTTATTACAGATTTGCATGGCTTTGACGCAATAGTACATTTGTTACTCCTTTCTTCAAACGCGAAAACTAATTACGAAGTGTGTAAAGAAATTTACGATAGTTGTAAAACCATATTTTTATAATCTCGTATTCATATCGACTGAGAGAAATCTCGTACACAATTACAGACCTTTCTACATTTAACACAAAACATGGTTTCAATTTCATGATTTTTACAGACTACTTTGAGATTATTGTATCATATCTTCGGAAGATCCACGAATACTTACTTAACCAGTATCAAGCAGCACGACCAATCGTCCAGATAGGAATTAAAATCTATATTATTCAAAAACCCTGACGCAGAGAAGTTGCTTCTGCTGATAAAGAACAAAAAGACTGGAACTCACCTTCACACAAACAAACACACAGCATTCCCAAAGTCACACCGAAAAATCTCAAATAACGAGCCGATGAACTGAAATTCTGATTTTCGCTAAACAAAAGACAAAATAAAGGTAATATAGGTTTAACATCATAATATTTGAAGACAATACTACTCCACAGCTTTAACTATAGGACATACTTTGTGGGGCGATTTTTGTAAGGTAATTGTAATTTCTTCCTTTGAAGCCTGTCAGAACTTCTGTACTGTCTAATTTTCTCTACCTTTCTGTTTTCAGGTTTCTGTTTATGTTTCTGAGGTTCATAAGCAACCCTTTATTTTTCATTTATCTTCTCTAGAGGTTTTACTTCAGATTCACCACTTTTATAATCACTTAACATTTAAAAGTTGCTTGCCACTGAAGTTATTTATTCTCGTTATCACTTATATCACTCAGTTGTCAATAAAATGAAGAAAATATCAATTTATGGAAATCTGATCATACAAGTAATGAAGTAGGTCAAGCCCAAACGGATTTTCTTATATATTTATACGTCCAACTTACTTTTCTACCACACGTTGGTATTATCTTAGTGCCATTTAACAGGACATTTTCATATTGAGGCTTTATACTGTCTTCTGCTTCCACAGAGGTATAAAATGGCTTATTTTTTTCAAATTCAGAACTGTTTTCCCATGCTCTGGTTTTTCCCGTCGATTTTCACATCCTGATTTTTACAGGGGACCATTTATGTTCCACTTCTCTTCTTGATTTTTATTACCGTCTTGTTAAAAAATGTTAGCTCACCCGCATTGATCTACGTTGACAGTGCAACTATCTGGAGGTCCATTAGAAGCGATTAGGATTCGACAGGACCCCAAAAAGAACCTTCCATCCATTGAGGAATTGGTAGTGAATAACGGCTTACAACTAAACAAATAGAAAAGTCACATCATGTACATTGTGCCCCACATGACGCAAACGATTCCCACCCTCAGTGGAAGTCCGCTCCCTTATGTCTTCTCAGAGCGCGATCTCGGTTTGATAGCCCATGTAAGCCTCCGCATTAGCGCTAATTACATAGACGACGCAGTCAAGGCAAATGCAGCTCTTCACTCTATGCGAAGACAACTTGGTGCTATCACTACCGAATTGTTCTTAACGCTGTTTAAGACACTTCAGGAGAATCAGGGGTGATCTGATTATGACGTACAACATATTAAGTACGTCAAACCATCTCAGCGTAAGCAACTTACCTATGCATCAGCACCAACCCCTCTAGGCAATCCTCGAAAAATTGTGCATCAAAGAGCGAGTACTTGGGTCCGGGCGCACATTTTCTCATCAAGAGTCGTTGCAACATGTAATGCTCTTCCTGCCGGGCTGACCACAGCCCCCCTAGTGGACAGCTTTAACAAGAGATTTGGTAATCACCTACTCACATATGGATTATCATCGCCCTCGTGGACCAGCTGAACCTGATGCATGTCTTGAGACCTGGCAGTTGTTATCATTGCCATCTCCTTAGATCACTTACTCAATCTATCTCGCCTATTATCTCTGTTTCCTCTCCCTTGCTTACACTATGCTCCTCTCACACAATCTTCGCTACCAACTAATAGACTAAATTATCTATATATTACTTAGTTCTGAAATCTTATTCATATTAATTTCAGAATTTTATCCTTATTATTCTCCACATTGCAACTAACTGGTCACCAGCCTTGTAATGTGAAAGCTTTTGGTATCCAGAAAACTTACTGCTCTGAAACGAAGGTATTCACTTGTATCAGGGAGCATAGAAACTCACAAAAAACTGCCAAGTGACTAGAATTAGGCAGTCGAGTGGCTATATCCCCATTCTTTGTACACTAGAGAGCAACTGGAACTGTACCGAAAGAACAAGAATCGAGCGTAAAGTAACCAGCTGGTTAATTCTAGTTCATGAGAAAGTTATTGGATATTGCATTTTCGTTTCTGCTTCATAACATTGCTGAAAACTAATTCAATCCTCGTTTTGCTTGTCACTCATACATTAGCTTATTAAAATTCGTCATATCAAATAGACTTTCTTTCTTGTAATTTTTTTGTTTTCACTCGTATTACCAAGAAAGTTGGATCAACTGTTCATCAGTTTAGAGTGAGACTTGTCATGTTACATTATATCTGTTCTACACTAGAAGGTGAAAGGACACAAGAAAGATAGTTATATCGGCTGAAGTCATAATCTACAAAGGAATATCCTACCTCAAAAACATATAAAACCTTCATCTGTACTTTTACTTGAAATTTTTTTACCCCAGTTGATGGTTTAGTGGGCGAGTCAAGATACCAGATTGACTATGATCTCTACTAAATTTTCTATACGGTCCCGTCACGTATATCAAAATAAATCCATGTACCAAGATGTTATTGAAGGAGACATTAGGCATTACATAGGGAGCAGGGCATTTAGAAAAATTGTAGCAACGCGAAGAGAACGTAGCGCGCAAGAAGTGGAAGAAGTGTTTTTGATACAGTTAAACAAAATGAGTACAATAATGTTTATTTTTCGCAAATCGTATTTTCTTCGTAGAAGCGTTCTACAACAATGGAATGAGTGATTACCAAGCAATACTTAAAACACATGATAAATGTACATGCTCATCGTTTAAATAACGAGGAAAATGGATAATATACTTGTGAATGCATGTTCGTATGCTGTAAGGCATCGAGACTCCGTTTCGTGTATAATAAAAAAAATGGCATGAGGATAAACTGCACTGTAATTTATTTACGAATTATTATATTGAAAGTGTTTTTATGAATTTTTGAGGTATTATAAATGTGAAGAAATCTGTATAAAAAAGAAAAAATTAAGTTTATTAGGTTAAAGGGAATTAATGTCTACCTTTTCTATGATTCAAAATAAAAAGAGATTTTGCAAATATGTATCTGTGGTGTTTCAAAAATTTCCGTAACGTCTAAATTTTCTTCAGATAAGATGAAAACCTTTTTTAAACTAACTAAATTTTTTCCTGAATTGAAAAGTAATAGCAAGTTGATATGAAATAATGAAACGAAATACTACTACTTTGAGTAAGTCTAGAACTTAGGCAAGATATAAGTAAGAACTGGAATTTGAAGTACATAGTATGAAGTTGTATTGTGTTGTTAAAGCTGATTTAAACACATCATAAAATATTTAGGTAAAACAATAAATTTATAAGTTCTTCAGCACAATCATCGCATATCAAATGTTGAGAAAGTTTATGCACTCAATTGAAAGTAACCAATCAAATAAATTTAGTTTTCGATTGGCTTAGCTGATTATATTGGCATCACAAGTTAGAAAAGTACAATTGAAGATATTATCTTTTCAAAATTCTTCATAAAACTATGTCTATAACTAGCCATACAAGTGAAGGGTCATCCTTTTCAACATGGCCACATATAATTCACTCAACACTTCATATTACTTCAATTACGAAACATAATAAACGTTGGAATAAACAATCTGAGAACAAGAGTTGTGAAAATAACGACGACGATAGTGATGAAGAACATATAACAGACATTATACTAACATTTGTATTGGCTGTTGATTCTGAAATGTTAATAAACAAAGAATCTACCGTTACAAGACCTAAATCGTTTAATTCAAGTTCATCTAGTTCATCTAAAGGACATAATAATTTTATGTATTTTCATTTTGAATATGCAATAATGGATAAAGATAATTATTCATTTTCTACTGATGTGGTAGTATTTTCAAAATCTATTGCCAAAATCTATCCAACCAATTGTTCATCAAAGCTAACAAATCCTTGTGAAATTAATAACACTTTATGGATTGTATGGACTGAACAAATACCAATAGTGATTACGGATGAAATGATTATCGATTTTTGGAATTTAACACAAACTGGTGGTATACGTATAAAATGTTGGGATCAACGTGATAAATGTTCAATTCAAACAAGATTTGATAGACCAAGATCTGTCAGCAATACTATTAACAAACAACCTGAAGATAATATTAAGGATGATTTTAAATTAAGTGAAATTCAGTCAACAATAACATTGTTAAATTCTTATTGTAAGAGTCCAACAAATGTAAACTTGAATAATGCAAATATTGAAAGTGTACCTGGAAAATCTGAAACAACATCACAGTTAAAAAGAAAAAATATTAAAAGTAAGTCAAACTATTTGTAGTATTAATAAATAAAAAGAATTATCAATGAAAAATGTGTGTAGAAAATCTTACTGAATATCACTATTGATTGAACAGGATATCAACTGTAAAATTGACAAAATGCGGAAGGAATGCATTGCTAGATATAGGAAAGATCATTAATTAACCGAAGCATTAGAATTATTGTCTTTAAATCAGTTCAACTAAATAGATTATGAATGTCCAAATATTCATTGATAAACGTATTATGTTTTCTAGCTGAAAAAATTTTGACATTTAATAGTTTCATTACGGGGTTGTGAAGATTGTTAAGTTACACATTTGAAATCATGAATCGATCAAAATTAGACCACCATTAGAAACATGGTAGAACTGGACGGCCATTTCGTCCTGGTACGGGACTCATCAGCAGTGCGCATCCATGACTCCTGTACTTTGCAGGATTCGAACACAGGGCCCTCGTTCCTGCGCGCGAACGCCTAAACTTTGGAACACTGAGCCGGTATCTAACGGTGTTGATGTCTAACTTTGATCAATTCACGGAGTTGCGCAACCTCATACACAGTCTTCGGTAGTTACTGTCTACACCCGAACAGGTTGAACTTTACTAGTCACGACTTCCCACTAGAACTTAGAGAAGATTCCTCATGGAGCTGGTCACTAGTGAGCATAGGTAATTGCATTACAGGGTTGTAAAGATTGTTAAGTTACACATTTGAAATCATAAATAGTTTGTTTTATGCTGTCTAACCAGATACCTGATTATAAATGCTGCTATCTGAAATAATACCTTGTCTCGATACAAACGATGATCATGAATGTGAAAAGCATTTAGTACAGAATCTATTTTTAATCAATAAATTCGATGAAAAAACTGATCACGACTGATTAATTAATAACTTATTCTCACAATGCGTTATTTACAAGACCTTTTAATCGACATTGCTTACACTATTAGAAAACATAACTAAGTGACTGTATCTAGTTTAAGTTTGTATTCAGACTGTTTCATTCAGGAATGACATTTACTGAAACAACAGATAGATCTCGATAAATATCGTTATATTGAATATGGTTACATTAACTTTGTGTTTGTAAGTAGAGTTAACAAGATTTAAAAAATATTAAAGTACTTCAAGATCCTCTAGACTTTTTTGTACACTAAATGTTCATTAGCTTCCTTCCAAGATCAGTTTACTCTTCTTAGCGACATTTATTGATTTAAAAAATTCATCAGTTATATATCCTTACCATATTTTATTTCGATTGACTAGTTCATTGCAAACCAAAAGCTTCTTCAAGTTCTATTATTTCACTACGTAACTTACTCTCAACTAACAGAAAATAGAATTATAATGAGTCTATTATTTCTCTTGGAGTAATTTGATACAATATGCACATAGGCATACAGATTATCTTCTGAAGGGTATTCTGTAATCAGTTAATTATTCCCAGAGTTATATTTGCATATTTTTTCATAAATCAATAATGTAAATTTTGTTTTGGTGTCGCAAAGCACTTATATGTTTCTATTATTAACTAAAACAATAACAGTTCAACAAAACCTAAATTCTTCACTAAACGTAACTTTATTATATATTCAATGGTCGAATGAAGATGTCTAATTCCAGTTAATTTTTGTTATATTAATTATATTCATGATTTTCAAACTTTCAATGTCACATTATTCCTTGAACATAAAATTGTCCTGATGGCATTAAATATAGTTTTGTTTCAATATCCAGATAAATATCTTAGTGTGTTTAGCATTTAATTTTTCTAAGCACTTGAATATTGTTTATTTTGAATTTCATTTTCGTATCATAAGATTTTGAGCATGTTCGTTCATTGATTGGTTTGTTGAGTTGTTTGAACTTGTCTAGTCAGTTGTAAATTGATCGCGAAATCAACTACAGTCTACAAAATGGTTTGTATACACATAATGTCTGTGAGAATAGTAAGTACAATGTAGTCAATTCCATCACTATTCGAAGTTGATCATTTTCATACAAACATTATGATTACACTTATCATAATGAAATCTCTAAAGAAATAAGAATTACAAGTACGCACAGAATACAACGTTATTTTTGCCCATATAAAACAAAGTATTTATTATTAGTGAAGATAAAGTACATCGTACTAAAAACGAATCAATAAAATTATGTTTATGGGCTAGAGCTGTTTTGGGGACGTTAGATACCCACGACTCACTTTAAAAAGGTCCAAATCTTTTAATTGTTTTCATATTGAGATGCTGAATTTTCTGTTTTCGCGCCGAGGACGCTCATTTAGACCTTGCATTTCCCACTCAGGAAATCCCTGACTGTCATTGGTTAATGGATTATTTTATCATTGTATAAATAAGCTTGAGTTGTGTTTACCTCATACTTTCTAGGTGTCTGTGAAATACATTTCACTACGTCTTATCAAAACTTCTTCCTCTAGCTTGTAAGGCATGAGACGATCGGATTACAATAGCCTATCGTGTCACTGAATCATTGAACTTCGTTCCGTTTAACGAGTAAAGTGAACTCGTTATAGCTACAAGCAAATCAATAGCTTACCCGGTTTCATTGTGAATAAGAGAGAAAAAGTAAACACATAAAAGTACCAAATCTAAGTTGACTTTTCATTGTACGTTTTAGTCGACATTCATTACAGTCTAGATGATCTGACTTTACATTTATTTCTAGTTTACAGGAATATATAAATAATTAATTTAATAATAAGTAAGCATCGTTTCCCACCTTTTGATTACACATACCTAATTAAGTAAGATAAATAATAATGAATCAGACATATGAGATATTTTAGTATTTATCAAAAATCAATAGCAAATCGATTAGTTGACTAATGCAATGTCAGAACTAATGACATCAAAAGTATTCACTTTGTTAAATTTTTCGTTGGATTCTCTTCAACCATTAACACGAAGTTAACCATACCTAACTATTAAATTTATTGTAAGGTTTCTTTTTCACCAAGATTTCATAGTGTTTCTTATTGACACAAGAATGTTCAGCCTAAAGCGCTTGTATTCATTTAGTTGGTTTTTATTGGCTTATGAGTTTTTTTTGACAAAGTCAATTAATATTTTTCGACAAGGTTTGATATTGTTTTTATTCAAAATAAATAAAGTTGGGCAAATGAGAGTCTCCTTGGTGGAAAGTAACAGCTTGGAATATCCGTATGGTGCTTTAAACTTTGAGATCAATGAAGTATAAGATGAAGCAAAGTGGCAGGATATTCAACAAATCCTAGTAATCAACATAAAAGAAGTAGGGTCTCTATGAGGCATAGAAAACAATAATGATTATAAATATACTGTTCAGCATTTTATTGTCGTCTGCTATCTGCACCAGTATCATACTTAATCCTAATACAATCAGAACGGAAATCTTAAGATATTATTGACAATGAATGTGACATCCAGAATCTGTTTATTTGGTATGACTTCCGATTTGTTCATTCAAAATAAAAACCCCACAAACATTGAATAGCTTTATTGAATTGGAAAAAACTATGATCAATTTACTTGGCACTTCAAATTTTTCATTGGTTTAGATTGCTCTCCCTTGTTTGACACATTTTATAAAGATGTTTTTTTTTATTTTTATTTCACAGACGTAAAATCGTCTAATCAATCTTGCAGTAGTAGTAGTAGTAGAATGAAAGCATTATCTGCTGGTCATGGAACAAGGAAAATTGACAAAATCCAAGATCTTGTGGATAGTTGGGGATCATGTTGTTTAGTTTTACAAACAGGACATTTATTTAGAATAAACCCACCAGGATGGATTGTAGCGCGTAAACCATTGATACATACTGTTAATGTATCATTGAATAAACCACCATTATCTTCCATAAATTTAGAAGTAGACAGTAATTTTAAAGATATATTAGTTGGTATGAAACTTTCTAATTCATTATTGTCTGACAAACAATGGCAAAAATTTCAGCCAATTATATTAACCATCGATAGACTACATAATCTTCCTGTTACACCATATAGAAACTATGAAGAAATGAGAAATCTATGTGAACCAATACGATTAGTAACTACATTCTCCGATGTATGGAATCATCAATCACGAGAATATGTTCAAGACAAAGAAATATATATGGATGAAGTACAGGTAAATTTGTAAAATTTAAGAAATATCTTTCTAGATGCACCAAAATATCAGTTTGTTATTGCATTACAGCTCAAAACTATGCTTTTCACGTAAGATAAACTGAAAATTCGTTAACATTTACAAACTCAAGTAGACAAAACTGAACATGTCATTTGGTTTAGGATACTTAATATAATTCTGGCTGAAAGTTAGTTGCTGCTCGAACATCTTTAGAGCAACATTGTAGACTGCAATATTAGGTGAGGTGTGTTGTATTCTAACCGTGAGCCTCACTTTGGTCGTGATTGTGGATATATCTTACTGAATATATCTCTGAGCATGAAAGATAGATCCTGAATTTTTTAATGGTTACATTCAATCAACTATAAAAATATTGTCAACGATAAATAAGTTGGATAGCTGAAATAAAAATAAGTTTAGATTAATCAACAGTGAATTAGTCCGTCTATTCTGAAAACATTTCTTCCACTAATTAACACTGTAGGTCCTGTTTTCTTCACGTGACCTTGTTTATTCATAGTTTGTTTTGTCCAGTTGACACATAACAATATTATAACAGATTGACGATTTCCACACAGATTGATAAACTTGATCTATACTAATGTGCCTGTTGATTACAAATTAATCTCACTCCTCTACATTCAGAAGTTCTCTAGTTTTCTAAGAATGTCGTGGGACTAAAAGTCTGACTTCTTCCTAGCAAAGTTTGTGTTCACTTGTGTGGATGATGTGATTGTACTGGCCTGTGAATGACATCGATTCCAGAGGGTATTAATTTTTGTGATGTTTTTGATGTAGCGTAGAATTTACTTTCAGAGGGTGATTTTATGACTTGATGAGCACAATTTTTATTGAAATAACTCAAGTATTATTATGGAAGATGGAAACAAGATGGATTCCCTCAACCTTTCATCAGATGAAGGTCCTGCAGTAAGCCTTGGCTATTGTAAATGATGTCCGTACAGAACTCCTTTTGTGTACTACTGGGTTGTTGTCGATACGATTCAAGAATCAATCTGTATGATTTGATTTTCCTGTATACTAGTTTCTTCAAGGTTATTTGTTTGTTCAACTGAATAAGATATCCAAGTATAAAAAGCATGCATTACTAAAGTTTACTGAAATAGAATTAGTAGTATAAATTATATATATTACATATGAAAAGAAAGAAGAAATAGTACAAATTTTCAGTGTAATTTAACCTTTTGAATCAAAATTTCTAAATTTTAATTCAATTTCATGAACACTAGTGTATTACACTTTCATAAGAAATATTGATCGAATAACTAAGGTTAACTAATCAGTGCAACTTAACTAACTAATCAAAATATACTGTACTTTGTTTTTTGGTAAAAAATTTTAGGGTTTATTAATTTTTGTATCATATTTTAGTAAACTGCTATTAGTAGTTGTATTTTTTGATTAACTATAATTGACTACACTTTAAAATTGTTGACATTTAGCTGGCAAGCCTTAAATATGATGTAATACATATTCTAGATCGTTACCATCATTAACAATTAAAAAATAATTGCCAAAATGTTTTTGAATTATGAAATTTAGCTAAGTGTCAAACGAAATAAATAATTCAGTAAAAATAATGAAAAGTCATAGACTAATTATCAAGTGAAAGTAACTGGCATTTAAGGTTAGAACAGTGTCATATACCAACAGCTACCGTCTATAAATCAGACAAACCGCTTTTAGGATCAGTTTCCTTGTACTCTGAACTATAGGCTACTTGTTAGTGAACATGAATATTTTATGTGAATTTTCGGGAAACTTGAGTGTGTGTGTGTACTCTTAGGTCGAGCCCTCAAGGCTTGCCCGAGCCTCTAAACAAATTAATTAATCCATTCTTATTGAGTTAGTTACACGTCTTTCGATCTTGTCAAACATTCACTGACACCTTGGTTGTTTTTATTAGAATGTGTTTATGTGTGCAAGTTAATTTCGCTTATCACATGATTATAAATGCTTAGTCATGGATCAGTAGTACATTGAGTTGGCTCGCTCCTGGTTTCCACTTCGCTTTTCTTTGCTTGTAAGCTTCTTGTTATCATGTCTGTCTGCACTAACAACTGCCAATCTGTATTTAGCCTCTTATTACCACCGCATTACAAATGGGGTTCGCCTAAATATAATAAACGGAAACTGAAGGGGAGATTTATTTCATAACATATTTAACTGTTTGTACATAATAGAGTCATCGCCAGCGACTAAAGTAGTGGGCCCTACTTTGAATCTAATGCAGTCACAAAAATTTATTCACTGTTGGGTATTTCAATTCATTATAGGTTATTCTAACATACAATATACCTGGATTACATCTTCGTGAACTGATACAATCTTTACCAATAGTCATTGATGTATACGACAGAGTATACTATAGAAGTGAAAAAACTGACATTAACCAAGTACCTGGAGTTGGTCTGTTTTGCACTGAACCAGATGATGACAAAATTGGCAAAGCTCAACCAAATTTAAAAACAACTAGATTTCCAACTCAGACAATTGATGAAAAAAATATCACGAAAATTTCATCTCCTACAGGAAGAGTCATTTTGGATTTAAGTGAAATAATTCGTTTAAAATGTGTTAAAATGAAACAAAAACTACCAGTGTTGCCAGTAAGCGAATCTGATCTAGATCTGTTGAAGGATCATGCATGTACTAATACAGATCCTAGAAGTACTCCTCGTAGTTACATTGGTTACATGGATTATCAATGTGAATTGTCAATTGAAATAGAGGTGAATATCAATATGGACAAATTATTACCAATAAACACCTTACCTAGTAATGTACAGATTATTGAACGAATGGTTTTTATTTTTGAAAAGCCAGAAAAAAACGAAACAGAAGGTAAGGTTAGAAGATATTTTCTGGAATATGTTTTTAACTACTTATTAGTAGACGTTAAATGAATGCGAAATATATATGTGAAATTCCATGCAGTTTGTTCCCTTAAAGTTCTGGCTTTATCCAAGTATGTGTGGGTATGAAAAATCTTGAAATGAAGTCAAAGAAAATATCTGCTTTTGTTGATCATGTCACAGGTTCATATCTTAAACATGTTTGATTCACAATATAAATCATAACTTCCAGAATACCGTTGGACTGAAATAAAGAGTGTGGTTGAATTAGTTATGATAGTGATCGGTTAGTAGTTCATGAAACTCTGGTTCCATTTATAGTTGGTTCAATCGTTTCAACATATATGTTCTGATACAGATTTTTGCTGAAAATTTTGATTATACGACCTAGAGAAGTAGGTGAATTGGGAGGAACAAGGTTGTTTTATTGTTGATAATAATTGAACTGAAACTATCCGTCAGTATGATCTAACTTAAATTGACTTACCTTTCAGTAACCCTAAGATAGTAATGACTGCTAGACAAAAGTTTATGCTTAATCAATATACGATAGTATTATCAACCTTTGAGTGGTCAAATAAATACTCAGTAACTGTTATACTCGTCTCTAGGTTAGCTTAAAACTATTACGGGTTCACCTTAGTCGAATAATGAGAGAAAAAACAATGAACCAGATTTCAGGTACGCTACTGTGATCCGATTGCCCCAACTGTACCAGCCAGAAGTCCAAGCACACGAACTGCGTTTATTTATACACCATAGAAACGTCCTTGGGAGAGTCACAAAAATAGTACACTAAAATAATACATCAACCAATGACAGCCAAGGCTTTTCCTTGTGAGAAATGTGATCGCAAGGTCAACTGATCAACCCATGAATAAAATCCAAATTAAAGATATTTATCAAGCGAGTTCTGAGGATCTAACGTCCCCACCAGTAACCTAGATTCCCTAAGAGATATTTTCACCTTTTATTTTCATTTATAGTTAATTATATTTCAGAAATGATAGAAAAGATTAAATTATTCATACTAAAATCTAATGCACGTTCGATTGGATTATCTGATGAATTACCAGTGCAAATGATTAAAGCAAATTTAAATTCTTTACAATCACAATATATGCCATGTATACATTCAAGGTCATCTAGTTTAGTATCATTCAATTCAATTGACAATTATACTGATCAACATAATAATACTGAACAATTTCAACCAGTAAATCAATTCATTACTGGATTTCATTTGAATGATGAAGATTTCAATTTAATTATTCTTGAAACTGGTGATAATGAAGTAAGTAGATATTTAGAAAATCTAATTATTGAAAGTTTGAATGTATACAATGAAAATTCAAATGTTTACTCTTCCATTGAAAATAATAATATGAAATTTTTAAAAAATAATATGATCACTTTTACAAAACGTTTATATACATCATTAAATTGGTATTTATTAGAAAATACAATGACAATTCCAATGAAACAATTAATTGAACAACCAATATTTTATATACGTGATCTATTGCCACGTTTAGCTTATTGTGCTATTCATCGAATTTTTAATTTAAGATTACATTGTAATAATTTATCAAGTAGTGTTCGTGCAAATTTATTTCCAACTTGTCATATGATTCAAGCATTAATCAAACAATTTTGTATATCACCTATTCTTACTAATTTAAATCGATCGTCGACTAGTCTGTCTGCTAAATCAATGCCATCATTATTGAATGGAACAATGAATAATGATGAACAAATTATTGAAGATTGTACATTGAATAAAAATGACGCAATTAATCGACCGAAAAATCTAAAACAAATACAAAGAAAGTATTTATCAAAAAGTTGTATTGCATCAAGAAATAATACATTACAAAGTCAATCTTTAAAAGATAAAAAATTTTATCATTCATGTTTATTTGATAATAAAGATAATAATTTCAATGAACAATTTGCTTATAATTATAGTATTCAATCGTTGAATTCATCAATTATTTCAAAAAATGAACTTTACTATAATATTTTATCAAAAAATGAAAGATATACTTATTCTAATGAATATTTAAATTCTGGAAGTTTTGAATTAACACAAGATGATTGTTTAAATGAACAATGTATTAAACAAATCATTTTAAATGGTAAATCACTATCTAGATTAAACTTACGACTTAGTTGTAAACATAAAAAAGATAAACAGTGGAATAAATCAACAAAGTTATTAGATAATATAATATCAAAAGATGTCACGTTCAAAGTTAAAGTTTATCCAAAAATGAATCAGAAATCCATTTGCTAGATAACTTGATGAATAATAATACACTCATATATGCTGTGAGCTTTATGATTTATATGAAAAATTATGATCTACTTATGTTTTGTTCATGATGCATTTCTAAAATTGTGTTCAGTCATATGAATAAAATTCAATTTTCACTAACTGCATAATTCAGTTCATTTAATTAAAGGGATATTGCAGTAGCAGACCATATGAAACTGACCGTGATTTAACTTCGCGCTGTAACATTGTCGATTATTCTAAACATACTTAATTCATAGGTATTAGTTATGTGATTCTTCTCCCTGATATTTAGACTGCGTTTGATTAGTCCCTTCTTGGCAGATGCGTATCCTGTGTGACTTGCCTTGAAATTGTCATGAGGTCGCATACACTTTTTAAGCAGAGGTGGATGGTGGCTATCAGTCCTAGAATGAACAATAACTCTGATATTCAGGTACATCTAGCTGATGAATCTAGAATAGGACGAAATGCTCATCCTGAATACTACTGCATGACTACATATTGGCCAGTTTGTTATGTTTAATCGCTTTGAACATTGTACAAGCCTGTGTGGTGCAAGGGTACTAGTATATGTAACATAATTAAGCAGTCAAAACAATTTTAAACTCTTACGTCTGTAAATAAATTTCAATCAACTAAATTAATTTATTTCCTTATCAATGAGGTAGTCAAGAATTAGAGTAATTAAATTTTTGATTAGAAAGGGTATCAACTGAGAAGTATATTATTGTATTAGTGAATTATAAGAGTTGATGTTAACCATATCGTCGATCTGAATAAATTAATATATACTTAACAAGAAGAGTGTAATGTAAAATATGAAACATCAAAGTACATTTAATATTTAAAAAGAAAAAGTAATCAAGATGTCAGTAACATGACAACGATATTAGAAATATCACGGTAATAGTGAGGTAATAGAAGTCACAATAGTAATTATTATTCTAGCAGGATCAACGAATCACGATATTGATTTGAGTTGATCTCAGCATTGCTATTCAGTCATTCGTTGGTATCTTAATCGTAAATAAAATAGAGGTCTACGTTTTAATTTAATTTATACATACAAATTAGTATCAAGCTAAATAGAATTAAAAGTTGAACTTTGCCATTTTGAAGTGTACCAAGTGTTTTGATGTCAGGCAGGCTTACATCTGAGAACAACTCTACTTTCTCTACAAATGTCTTCGTCATTATATTCTGCCAACAAGTGTAAATTACGATATCTCAACTTATTATGCAAAGATTTGATTGACTCTGTGGTTGGGATGTATGAAAAAATAACTAAGAGTAATTTGGGCGATTCGTGAATGTCTGTAACGTTGTCACCTCTCAATATGTTACACACACAAAATTATATTTGTGAAACATTTTCTTTCATCTTATAAATCTGTGTGCATGTAGAAGCTTCAAAGCACCGGATATGAAATAAATTCATTTTAGCCCATAATGTTTGCTGTTTTTATGTTATGAACGTTTATCAAAGGAACTAACTGCATGACTCTGTAAATGCTAATTTTTATTTTAACCAGATCATCTTAACGTGCCTCTACGGTGTTAGCTATTCTCAAGATTCGCTTAATTTCGCTAAGATTTCATAAAAATCATAAATTCGATTGTCAGTGCTCTAAAATGGTACTTGATAAGACTGCCTTTGGCTAGACACATTAGAAATGTGATTACTGATTTTCTTATAAAGTATTCATTACCGTATGAAACACTGTATTACTTTCGATAATTCAGTTTATCAGTATAAGGTTGTGGAGATTGTTGAGCTTCATAGAAATCATGAAATGATCATTGGTATAATACAACTGGAAATCTAGAAGCACTGGATTGCCGCTTCCTTCTATTGCGCATACATTGCCTTCGGTCTTGCACACAAACACTTAATCTCTTGATCACTGGGCCGTGACCAGTGGAGTTCGACCCCGTCGGATGCAAAGTAGTTACCCACCTGCGGTAGTCGGTGATAGGTGCGCAGTATGGTGGATTGATTGGATTCGGACATTAACACAGTTAAATGCCGGCTTGGCTGTCAAGAGGTTAAACGTTCTAAGTCAGTTGTTAAATCAGTCGCCTTACGATCAGTAAACTATCAATTTCGATCGATTAAACGTCTTGAAAATAGTGCTGAGTCTTGCGATATCGGTTACGTCGACAAAGAATATCAATATTCAGTATCATGAAAGCACATAATCACACAATATTGAATAACGCACTTATATTACATATCAGTAAATAAAATCAAATTATTCATAGCTAAGACAAAAAACTTTATTGTTCTAAAAATATCTAATTTATTACATTATATTAGGCTCTCTGATGTAATGTTCTATAGACAATTGTCTTTTTCATTCATTTTCAGTTTGATGCAGTTAATTAAGTAGACTGATCTAAAAACATGTCCATCATCAACTCAATTTTGATGTAAATGCAAACACAGTATTATTTTAGAAAATTGCTTTAGGCTACTTCTGAGTAGTGTCTATAACTACGTTAAAAAATTTAAGGAAAATCATTCAAAGAAGACCATGACATAAAGACAACTTATGAATGAGAAGATTTGAATTAAATAGCTAGTGATTATACGGTAAGGAATAAGAATTACTAGTGCTTGTGATATATAAACAATTCTAAGTCAGTGAATTTTGGTTTTTCGAATTTAATAAGAACTGCTAGTGATAGACCTCTATATTACTTTTAAAAAATTTATAGATGTGTGTTATGTGAAATACAAGTTTACTTATGTAATTATTACAGGATACCTCAATAAAACGTTGTATACAATAATATAGATTGTCATAGAAAATCAACTCATTTTTAAATTTTTTCAATAAAGAGTTAATTTTATGAATAACCTAATCTTAATAAATCATTTTCATTTAATTTTAACTGGATAGAGAATAAATCTTGAATGTGATGTCGTTTCGAACATTTTAACATATTCTTAAGAAGTAGACATGTGAGTCTATAATCGCCGTATTACGCAACTTAATGTCAACTATTTGTTCAATAGATCAAATCTTTAAGAAATTGTGAGAGTACTAATAATTTGAAATCATCAGTCAACTATTGTTAGACCACCATTAGAAACCTGATGATTTCAAATGTGTAAAAAACACTTATCTCCATAAATCTAATTGAAAATATCGTAAAATGTGCTCACTAGTGACTAACTTCGTGAGGGAATTCTCGAAGTTCTAGTTCTGGTGTAGGCAGTAACTACCAAAGACAAATGAGTGAGAACGCGCAAAATCCCTAGACCAATCAGAGTTAGACATTAACACTGTCGGATGCCGGCTAAGTGGTCCAGAGGTTAGGCGTTCGCGCACAACACCGAAGGTCCTGGGTTCGAATCCCGTGAGATGCAGGGGTCGTGGATGCGCACTGCTGATTAGTCCCATATCAGCACGAAACGGCCATCCAGTGCTCCCAGGTTCCCAATAGTGGTCTGATAATGATTGATTGATTGATGATTTCAAAAATGTGTAAAAACACTAATATCCATAACTTTAAATGTGATAGCCTGATTTATTGTTCTGACCATTTCATATGATCGCATACATGTTGGTATCTACCTTATTAAAAATATACAGCTGGATTGCTTGACCTATTTCATTTTCAGGTCACTGCAATTATTGAACATTTAATCTAGCACACGAACTACATATATTCCTAATATGAATAAATATTTCTAAAATAATTTTGGTACTGATTTTCTGTCAGAAACCGGTACATCAAAATGCGTCGAATAACAACTACAATAACAACAACAACAGAGCATAGTTCCGAGTCAAAAATGTACTGACTTAAATGTCTGTTTTAGGTTTTTAGAAAGCGGTAGAATGAAAAGAATGAACAAATAAAAGTAAAGTTACAATTCAATCGAGAATTGTGTACAAAGTTATTAGATTATCAAAAACAAACTAAGTTCAAGATAATAATAATAATAATAATAATAATAACAATAATAGCTAATTTACAAATATTTATCTTGCGCGCGCATTTATGACCTACAAATGATATATATATTACTATTGGTTTGTTCAAAAAAAAAGAAACAGTTGAAAACATTCATTCCTTTTTCAGTAATTGAAGTTCAAATTGGAAAATATCAAATTTTTTTTACATAATTGTTTTCTGAATGATTATAATAGATTATTTTTTTCTTCTTACAAATGAAGTAATATCTATGAATTTTCTTTTGATTCTACTGCTGGTAAGAAAAATATTTCTTAAATAATAGTTGAATGAACTAGTTCTGTAAGTTCAAATGTAAATTGCTTTCCTTTGGTCTGCATTAATTATACTTTCTTATCGTTTATGTATACACTATTAGTTTTGTACAAACTTTTGACAGTCATATGATATATGAAAATGATAAATATTCAAGTTTTAGTCAAACATGATAAGATTGAATATTGAATTGAATGAGGCTTTCCTTTGAACTATACCTGAAACATTTAAATGATTTAATTAGTTCAGTGTAATGATATTTATGTGAAATATCATGCACATTACTGATAATCATTTCTCTGTTAGAATTATAAATAGGATTTAAAATATCTGTTAAATCTTCTTTAATGATAATTTGACCAGTGATGATACTAATAGGAGTATTTCATTTCTTATGAAGGTATACAGATATATTCTTGGTCAACCAACATGCCTGCTGCACATGCACATCGCTGCGTTGATATACAGCACAAGGATTCTCACTGATGCCATCAGTAATCACCCCTGCCCCTTTCGGGTACATACATGTTGTCCGGTTTGGTCTGCAGACATATCGGACATCCAAAAAGCGCGCACACGAGCAGTGGCCTCTGCACAGGCACTTATGAATCAAAAGATCCCACCTACCAAACCACAGCCCACAATCCCCAGTCGGCGAGGGCAGCAAGGCGGGCTTATCCTTCCGGACAAGGCACCCCGTAGCAGGTTACCGAGCCACCCAAGCAGTGCACTAACCAGCAGCCATTCCAACCGTCTGG